CAGTGGTTCCACTCCCTGCCTGGAAAGTGCAAGGACCCGAGTTCAATCCCCAGTACCAAAAAAAAAAAAAGTGATTCTAATAGGTAAAATATTGGGCCTCATGCTGTATCTCTCACGGTCGCTGAGATTTGAGGATTGAGTGGTTTAATAACGGGAAGAACCCTGACCACAGGGACAGCTGCAGTAGGTGACCTGTGGATGTCGCTGTCACCCACTGGTGTTGCCTGCTGGAGGCAGCTGCTCCCTCTGGCCATGGAGGGAATTGCATGGTCTCACGGGCCACACACAACCCATGGAGCCTTCTTGTGTGCTGTCTGAAACGATCAGGAGAAATGACAGACAGGAAGCTGTGACAGAGGGAGGGACCTGGATGGGTGGGGAGGGGGATCTGCCCTTCTTCCTGGGTTGATATCTGAGCAGATACTTGAAAGAAATAAGAGAAAGAGCCTGGGGAAGAAGAATTGCAGGGAGTGGGTTCGGGGAGAAAGAGCCACAGGTGCAAAGGCCCTTGGGTGGGAAGGTGCTGGGCACTGAAGCAGGGGGAGCCAGGCAGGAACTCAGGGGAGCCCAGGGAGGGACCTGCTCTGGTGTGGGTGCAAAAACATGATTTTTTTCTCTCAGAGATGCAACACCCTGGGTTTCAAAGGGGGGCAGATTTAATGTACTTTACAAGATAAAATATCACTCTTGAAGGTGCCTGGCATCCTCCAGGCAGGGAGGGTGACCTGGTCCAGGTCAGTGGTGGAAGCAGGGAGAAGGGGTCAGAGCCTGGGAAGATCTTCAAGGAAGAGTCAACAGGATTTGCTGAGTTCAAAGAAGGAAAAAGGAAAGAGAAAAATAAGGATGGAGCCAAACTTGGGCTTAGCAACAGGAGGCAGAGTTGCCATTGACCAAGATGGAGAGGCACCTACTGAGCCCGGGTGCCCTGGGAGACAGCTGTCCAGGGTGCCCTTTTACAGGACAGGAAGCCCACCTGGCCCCAGATGAAAGCATCCATGCTGGCTTCAGCCACAGATGAGGATCCAGCTAAAACTTTCAGAGGAGCCTCCCAAGGTGAGAGAAAAGCAGGGCTCTATGAGCTCTGCCCTGGAGTTAAATCAGCAGAGTGAAAGAGAATTTGGCGGAGGAGGTTGAGACAAGGTCTCACTGTGTAGCCCAGGCTGGCCTTAAACTCAAGGAGACCCTCCTGCCTCAGCCTCCCGAGCGCTAGGGTCACAGGCATGCACCACCATGCCCAGCAAACACCAAGATTTTAAGCAGTTCGCTGAAGAAGAAAATGTGGCCCAGCTATGGGTACAGCCTGCCTGGCCGGGCAGAGCTTGGTTTAGGGGCCTCCGCGGGAATTTGTGCAGGAGACGACCCAGCTGTCTCCTCTCCACTCTGCCCTAGGGGAGGTGAAAGAGGCTCGGTCCTCAGGAGGCAGAAGCGCATGGCACACACAGGATTCAGTAGCACTGAGCAGCTGCAGGGACACCAGTCTGTGTCACCCTTGTTTACAATGGGACTAAACGGAGAGCCAGCATAGAATGCTCTGTTAGCAGGAGCAGCACTGGGGCTTGGAGCTGCTGGGAAGCTTCATCCCCTAGGAGAGCGCTGACACTCCTCCTCCACCAAGGGAATGGAAGGGAACCCAACTCGATGGCAAAAACCCCAGCACCCACCAATCATCCTGTGGGAAATGGGCCAACAATCTGAACAGACATTTCTCAAAAGAAGATAGACCAATGGACTCTGTATGAAAACCTGTTCCGAATCACCAATCACCAGGAAAACGCTCATTAAAACCGCACTAAAATATTATCTCATCCCAGGAAGAACAGCTACTCTAAAAAAGACCAAGATAACCGATGCTGGTGAGGATAAAGAGAGAGGAACCTTTTCTAATTTTTGTCTTTTTGAGACAGGGTCTCGCTATGTAGCCCAGGCTGGGCTTGAACTCATTGTGATCCTCCTGCCTCAGCCTTCTGAGTGCCACCATGTACCACCATACCTGGTAGAGACAGGAAACTTACACACAATTGGTGGGAGTGTAAATTAGCTCAGTCACTACAGAAAACAGCACGGAGGGCCGGGATGTAGCTCAGCAGTGCCGTGCCTCCCTGGCAAGTGCAAGGACCTGATTTCAATTCCCAGTACTGAAAACAAAAATTGCGATAAAGAAAGAAAACAGCACGGAGACTGCTCACAAAAGCCAAAAACAGATCTACAGTATGACCAGCAAGCTCATGACAGAGAATGTAGCCAAAGGAATAAGACGGGTGCACAGGAAGGATAGCTTCACTCTTGTGCTTGACACATACTCACAATACCAAGGCATGGACCCATCCCAGGCGTCCATCAGCGATGGAAGGATAAAGAACATGCGGGATGTAGATGCAGTGGAATAGTATTCAGCCATAAAAAATATAACATCATGCTATCCGCAGCAACATGAACCCAGAGGACATTTGATTGCGAGAAATGAGCCTAGGGCAAAAAGACAGACACCGCCTGGCCTCACGTGCAGAGGTGAAAGAGTCGATCACATAGAAGCACAAGTAGAATAGTGGTTACCAGAGGATGGGGGTGGGAGGAGGAGCGACAGAGAAAGGTTGGTTAGTGGGTATAAACGTACAGACCGCGAGAGACGTCCTAGGGTTTCTAGCACTGTAGGGCATTGCAGTTAATAGTTTGTTGTAGATTTCCAAAGAGCTACAAGAGAGATTATGAATGTTCTCAACGTGAAGAAATGTGACTGCGGGGACAGGACGCTAAGTGGCCTGACTTCATTGCTGCAGCTTTGTGCATGGAAATGTCACACTGGGCCCTGAGCAGACACCACTTTTCCTGCTCCGAGCCTGGGAGAGGTGGATCCTTGGGGCCAGAGGGCCCGAGGATCGCTCACTTCTTCGCTACCCAGGTGCCCTGGCTTTTCTTATGAGTGACTCATGGTAAAAATCAGACCTCCTTTTGTCCCCAGCAGATGCTGCAGTGATAGGGGACACCAGGACACTTTGTGACTTGCCTGCCTGCGTGCTGAGAGCTGGGGACACTGCTTTGCTGTCTGCTGAATCCTCCCCAAGCACTCTCCTGGCTAGGGTGCAAGAGCTGCCCAAGGGTGAATCCCGGGATCTACCTGAAGCTAAGGAAAACAGGTATCATATACATATATATATATACACACACATATATATACTACATACATATATATATACTATATATATATATATATATATATATATATATATATATATTTTTTTTTTAGACAGGATCTCACTATGTAGGCCAGGCTAGCCTTGAACTCACTATGTAGCCCAGGCTGGCCTCCAATTTCCTGCAATCCTCCTGCCTCAGCCTCTGGGGTGCTGGGAGTACAGGCGTGCGGCACCAGGCGTGGCTCTGTACAGCGATTTTTAGCTAAAACACCACTTCATTGAGAGTGGGTAGGCACTCCCCTCCTTCCCTCCTTTCCCACCATGTGGTAGCAAGCACACAGTGTGCAGGTCTCAGTGGAGATGGAGGGGAGCACAGGGCAAGGCGGGCCGGGAGACAGCGGCCCCTGCCGGCCGGGCCGCAACAGTCGGCCGGACGGACGAGGCCTGCGCTTGCAAACAGGACTCTGCTGCCCCTGGCGGAGCGGAGGTGGGCGCCTGCGAGACCCCGCCCGGACGGCTCCTCCTCGGCGCGCGTCCCGTCGGACCCGGCCGCCACAGTCAGCCTCCGCTCCGCTCGGCGTCCTTCCCGCCACGCAGGCTGTCACGGCAGGAACGCGGACCTTGGGTGTTTAAACAAGAAGACGGGAAGGCAGAGAAATGGTCGCCCCGCCCCGCCCCACAGGGGCCACCACGCTGTCAGTGCCCCCGGGACGCCCCCGGGACGCTCTAGCGCGGACAGCAGGCGCCCGGTTCCGGTTCTGCCAGGGCCGCTAGGCGTCCAGCAGCCCAGGGGGCGGGCAAGCTCGGCTGGAGTCTGGCCTTAGTTTCCTTTTATGCCTGTGATCTTCTGTCTCCGATAAAAGAAAAGATCTTAACTCCTTGCTTTCCGTTCCGAGGGAGAAACGAACGGCCAAATGTCCTCTGGGCGGGGCCCCGCCCGAGCCCTGCTGCCAGGCGCCCGCGCACCTAACCCGCGGTGGTGGCGCACCTAACCCGCGGTGGTGGCGCACCTAACCCGCGGTGGCGCACCTAACCCGCGGTGGCGGCAGCGCGCGCTGGGGACCGCCCTCCTCCGACCCCGGTGAAGTGTGCTGTCAATGAGAAACAGCAGGTTTTCTAAAATGTCTTTATTTTAAAAACCTATACGGTTTCAATTTGATAAAAATATTACCACCAGATATCTAATTATACAGCAACAGAATAAACAAAAAGTACAGTTAGAGGTTATCCAAAATAAATTTACAATTTTAACGTTGGAATACATATGCTTTTTTCAAATGAACAGATTTTTTTCTCAAACATCCAAGATACACTTCTTTTGAACCAGAACCTGACAACCTCTTGACAACCTCACAAATAAGTGCTTCTATTAATTTGAAAAATAAAACTACCCCAAGCCATTCAATAACTAATATGGTTTCTTAAAAAGGCAAATAAACCAATGCTTTAAAATCCTTATTACCTAAGCTGTGAAGAGGAGTAAGTTTTCTTTTCAAAAAATAAAAGCTGAATCTTCCTATTTGATTTACTTTTTATCAAGTATATTCTACTCAGACCATTTTCATAATACATCATAAGCCTGAAAGAATGTGGAGGTGTTAAAATACAAAAACTTCTTTGGTCCTTAGACAGAGGTCCCCGAGACATAAACCACCGCAGTGGGAGACACAGCTGGGGATGCTACTTCTCATACTGACCTGGACATGAATGTCCTTGTTTCTCAGAGATATTGTAATTTCCTTTCCAACAATAATAGATTTTTTGATGTACTGAGATTTGTTTTCAAATGCCTTAAAAATAAAAATTCATGTACATTACTACAAAGGATAGTTTTCAAAAGATCAGAGAAAAGCACCAGATGATATACCACAGGTTTTATTACTGGTAAACGTTTCCATCTGTTTTTTTTTTTTCCCATCTGTTTTTAAAAGCTTAGCTCTCGCTAAGCATTTTTAAACAAAAGCTAATAAGCAAGAATCATTTGCCATGCAGAAACTACATCCACCAATAAGACTTGACTTCAAATTAATCCAACCCTGAAATCTAAAAATATGGAAAACGTACAAAGCAAAACACTGAGTCACTTAAACCACCTTCTGACATTGAATATACTGCATTTAGAATGACACAAGCATACAGAACTTAAAAACAATTTTATAGATTTAGTCTCTTAAGACCAGCATTAAGAATGACAAGCAATTCATGATTTTCTTTAAAAAAATTTTTTTAAGTGAATCCCTTGAACAAAGGCTTTTGTGTTTACATTTGAGGGGAAGGCTATTTCCCAAGCTGACCCCCCGAAGCTGAGCAGCACCCTGTGTAAGCTGGCTCTACTCTTCCCAGAAACCATCGATGGCTCTGCACTGTGATAACAGAATCACTTTTTTGGTAACAGTATTATGGCCAGAAAAGTGATCAGTTTAAAAAACAAAACAAAACACAAACAAGGATCAAGTGCAAATCTAAAACTCTTCCTTTCAAGAATTACATAACCCAGCACAGTGCAGGGTCACTGTCACAGGGGCTAACAGTGTGACTCGCAGTGACACACGTGCACCAGAACCCACCTTCTAGGAAGCTTTCACGGCGCTGCCAAGCTGATAATTCTTTCAAGGCACTGAAGAATTATGTAGATGGAATTTCCAAAATACAACTAATAATTGCTTAAACTGTTAAAAAGCCCTGAGTCAGAACTTTCAATAGCTTCCTGAAATTATGTATCTCAGACAAAATGGCATGTCTATTTTATTAAAAATTACAAGGCCATTTTGATTTTGGAGGAAACAAATCATGTTTATGAAACAAAACTGAGGACCATACAGGAAAATTAAAAATTCAGAAATAGTACCTTCTTGGACATTTTGTACATGTCAATTATAACTTCTCGCTATGGATTCAGGCACCAAATGAACATGACAATTCACTTCTTTGTACCTACTGCTTTGATTTTTAATAAAACAACACTTTCAATTTTAACCTCAGGTTCTCAATTCCTCTTTAGTCACAAATAAGAATAAATGCTGGAAAAAGTAATACTCGGACAGAAGAGGAGGTAGAAAATGCCAATGTAGCAACTTACAATTTAATGTGTCAGCTCCACTGTCTACCTCCTATTTTTACAGTGTAGTCTGTCTCACCCACTACTAACCAGGTGTGAATCAGGACGCTGAACTCAGCCTACAGGACTCCCCTCACTGGAGCAAAGCAATACACACATGAGACAACATGAGTTTCCTCAATTTAATATTTTAAAGAAGTACAACTCACTATTAATACTGCTATCATTATATATATGTTAAAGTTCCTAGGGGAGATATATATCATCAAGTAATATCAGTCAGCATTCCTATCATAATATTCAAGCAAGTGAAATGTTCATTTCTGAAACTTTGAGAAGCAGACTTAAAAGACAACTGACATTTTCAACAAGGCACACATCATCTGTAAAAATCTATTATCTTTCCAATTTAGGATAAATTCAAAGTTAACTTAATTCTGATATTTAATCCCCTAATCTTTTTTTTTTTGGTACCAGGGATCAAACTCGGGTCCTAATTCTGATATTTAAAATGTGTTTCTCTCCCTTGGCTTAAATTGAAATAAACTCTTCCAATTAACAGACATTTAAAGCCTATCCAGTTATTATTAATAACAATTGGAGCAAAGGGAGAGAAATGCTGTCCCACACCCATGTTTTAGGAACACGGTGTTTACCACGACTTGAGGTCTTGCAAACACAAACTAACTACTGAATAATTCAGGTATTTGATTTACAAATGGTTAAAACTCTATTCTACTGGAGGGGAAGGGGCAAGGGAATTATTTAATGGGTACAGTGTTTCAGTTTTCAAGATAAAGTTCTAGAGATCTGTTTCACAACAATGTGAATACACTTAACACTACTAAACTGTATACTCAGAAAGAGTTAAGATGGCAAACTATTCTTTTTTACCACACTACAAAAATGCAAAAACATCTATTCCAAAATTCAATTTTTACACAAATTATTACTATAAAACATTTTAGACACTTTGAGAAGTGCTTTTCCTTTTGGATTAAAAAAAAGCAAGCTGTAGTAAAGTCTATAATTTACAAAAGACTATCCATTAAACTATACTAAAGACAGACTGGTTAAAGTACACTTCTTATTATTCAATTAAATATACTCTCTCCAGTACTGCTCTAATGGAATCCACATGGCCCTCTTTTCTCCTCTTCACTTGTAACACTGACTTTTCTGTTTCCTACTTGTTGCAGCCTCAGTGTCCTGACCTGAGCCTGCCCCAGCCCTAATTCTCTTCATTCATAAACTTCATTCCGAGTCCAAAAAGCATCCAGAATTCAGAATAAACAAACAATAGCAAGTGGGCAACACATAACTAGGCAGCATAGTTCTGGTGTGTCAAACATGACCCAGCAAGCTTTGCCATCTGAACGGGACAAATCGTCAGCAGCATACACTTCAATACGCCAAAATGCTCTCACAAGTAAAGCCATCCGAAATACAAATTCAAGAAAGTTATTTCCAACATTATCTGTCAATTAATTTTATGCCTCAGTAGCTAGCTGGTTCATTTGCAATGCTTAATTAATCATAACTTGGCCAGCATAACTAAACACTGTCTAATATTCCTACACTCATACAAAATTATCTTCTCTGGAAAATCTTGCTCCCAACAAAATTAAATATGTATGTAAGTAAGAATGTTATAGTGTGTGAACAAACACAATTAGGATAGCACCATCAGTAAGCTGTGTGTTTTTGGAGTAACAACGCCAAGACTCAGAAAAATGAAAGGAGAGAAGGTGGTAGTGAGGAGCACAGGAGGCCGGGTATCAACGCCGACACTTTGGGGGCATCGAGAAGAAACGCTGTCAGTGTCTCTGGGTCCCCTCCTCCCTGTCCCAAGATGACCAAATACTCAACTGCCACAGCATGCATTTTGAGTGTGCTGAGGCTGATTTCTTCTTTTTCCTCCCAATTTGGGTACCAGCCCCTGAAGCCCAGTTAATACATTTTTTTTTTTAGTACCAGGGATCGAACTCAGGACCTTGTGCTTTTGAGGCAGGCAGCGACACCACTGAGCTAAATCTCTGGCCCCAGTCAATACAGTTTTTTGAATGCGTGCATGTCATTTTAAAAAACTCTAGGGTGCCTGCATCGCAAGCTCAAGGTCCTGAGTTCAATCCCTGGTACTGGGAAAAAAAAACTTCTAGGAAAGGTAAAGCTCTCTAGAGGCACAAGATAGAGCTTTACACAAGGGGAAACACCTAACCTGCAAAGCACTGCTGAGAGATGTGTAGAAAGAGCAAGTTTTTTCTTTCTTGCAAACTCAAAATAATTTTAGGTACTTAAAAACATGACTACAGAAAAATTCTCTATTCATAAAACAAATTTCAAAGTGATACAAATAGAGAAAATCCACAAGTACTTAGCACTAGAATTATAGTGACTTTATGACTTCTACAATTGAAGCTCTATTTTTACTATGGAGAATTAGTCTGGAAGATATTATTGCCTTTTGGGAATATGTTTTAGCACTGCAACTCAGAAGACAAAACAAAGGGACTGAAGTGAAACACAGCTGTGGCCCCCTTTCCCAGTGTGGGTGGGGGTGGCCTATGGCACACGGGGAGAAATCCTGACTCCCGCTGTCTTTAGAAATGTCTCCTTACATGACATTATCAATCAGACCTTCTTATAACTTCAAAATATACTTTAAAAATAGTCTCAGAAGCCTCCGAGATAACTGAAGAGTCAACAAAGTTTCACATTTGAAATGTGTGAAAATTCTACTATTCAGAGTGTAACAATTTCTCAGCTAAACATATATATGGAATTGCTGAGACTATAAAAGCAGCCCCCAAAGCTCACCACTGCTGTCACCAGCACTGGCAAAGGCAGTAGCAATTAAGTAGCCAGAAACAGTGCTATGGTTAGACACGATGTACTATATATATATTTTATTTATTTATTTTATTTATTTATTATTTTTTTGAGGGGGAGACAGGTCTTGATATGTAGTTCAGATTGGCCTTAACTCACTATGTAGCCTAGGCTGGCCTCGAACTCACAATGATCCTCCTGTCTCAGCCCCGCAAGTGGGATTACAGACATGTGCCACCATGCCTGGCAACACATTGTTAGTTATTAAAGCAGGAAAACTGAAATAAGAAAAGCTAGCCAGATTTAAAGGGGGGAAAAAAACTGTGAGAGATCCATTCTAGTTAGGAGCGACCTTATACATAATATGTAGTAGACAGTATTATAAACAGCTGCTTTTTTTTTTTTTTTAATATAATCCAGCAGCAAGAAACCCAAAAATTTCTAGTTAGGTATATATGTACCCTTGTCTCAAAAAGAGTCAGAGAAGAGAAAATGATCAGATGCTCTACAGTCAAAGGCTGCCCCTCCACTAGAAAAAAACAAATCTAAAGGTTAATCAGACACATTTCTATACGGCACTGGCACTCTTTCTAAGTACCTACCTACTATGAGGTCATTCACAGTATCTTAGATACTGTCGGCAGTTTAAATAACACCTTCCAGTACGAGCTGCTATCTGAGAGCGCAGTAAGGCTCTGGACGCTATGCAGAGCAAGGGAGACTGCTACCTCCCTGCGACACCTGGCCCATCCCGAGGGGCAGAACCCGGTCGGGAGGCAGGGTCACCGCCCTCCTTAGCCCACTGGGGAGTTGTCGCCAGGAAAACCTAAGCACACTTTTCTCAGGTTTTTTTTTTAAAGGGTTGCTGAATCAAGCAGTGCATAAACTAATATAAGATGTGACTGTTAATGGTTAATAGGTATTATTTTATTGTTTTTTTTCCCCACTATGATTTTGATTTTCAGCTCCACTATGATTGCTTGGTTTTCCTTTTCACATCACTCTGTCATTTTGAAACAGGTAATTTGATTCAAGTTAGTTTTTCTTTAAAACCTAGGAAATAAGCTAACTACAAAGTCATTTTCTTAGTCTATGCTTGCATTACTCTAAGAATTCAAAAACATTTAGATAACTTCTTGTTTTCTTAAAAACCGAAACTTCCCTTCAATATTCCCTTCACCATGCATAATCTGTACCATAATTTCATCATTTAATGTGTGACACAGCAGTCTGACTGGCCCCTTTCATTCAATGCACAACTTTTCAGGGTACCTGTGTCACTTCACTATGTAAAATCGTAATAACTGATCATACAGAATTATGTCTTTTGAGGTCTAATGAATTTATAATCTGTAGGAGAAAATACAAAAAAAACACAAAAGGATCTCCTCAAAGGATTTCCCCCTTCGAAACCAAAAGAAAATTACATGTTTCAAATGTAAAAGAAAAATATACCCCTCCCTCCAAACAAATAAACACAAGATTTCTATTTCAAACACTTTTTGTAGAGATCTTTTGTTCTGGTACATTTACAATCTAATTACACTCTAGAAAAGAAACTATGACATTAGAAATTAATTCATTAGAACTTCCAACCTGCTTAGAAGCTAAGACTCATAACCATATCCTTTAGCTAACAAACAGTTTCTTAGTACAAAAGAATCCTCCGTTCGATGGCCTTGCGACAAATGGGACATTCACTCATGCGGTCTCCACAGAGCTGGCACGTGCCGTGGCCACAGAGGAAGATCATGTTCTTCAGGCGGTCCAGACACACGGGACACATCGTCTGTAATGGAGATGACAAAGTGGTAAATGCTGAGACATTCAACATTTTGAAAACGTAACACGTGACAACTGTTACATCACTGACTTTCTTCTGTTCTTTTAGTCAAATATTTTGTTGCTTTTTAAAAATAGTTTTTAAAAATTTTAAATAGTTAAAATGCCATTGCTATACAACAGAAATACTGTTTGTTCTTTCATGGTAGTATAAAAGGTACTACATAAAATAAACCCTATATAAAATGACATGAGCAGGAAGGAAATGGATGAAAATGGCACCCTCGCTTCCAGGCTCTCAGCCACTGCTGCATGAAGACTGCCCCAAGAATCAGGTGGACTGGGGTGGGCACAGCACAGCGACACAGCCAGCGCCTGCCAGGCACGTGGTAGACACCGTCCTGTCTTGGAACTGTACCACTGCCCCTTTATAAAAGAGCAAATTTGGGGCTCTGTGGGCTCTACATCCTCCACATGGCCTGCTGGAAGGTCACCTTGGGGTCTGCGGATCCAGCGCTCTTCTCTTGAGCACGGTGCCACCGTGCTCTGCTACCAGTGCCGATCCCCTGAGCTAAAAACAGGCTCATCAGTTACAGGTTAATAAGTGTAAATCTCATAAACGTGGAAAATTAGAAGTATGTTAGGTATACTTCTGTAAAAACACTCTAGGAAGTCGTATTTATTCATCAAACATACTTACATTTACAAAAACATATTTTACCTTAATACCTCACTCTGAATATCTTTCCCAAATAGTGAAATAAACAGGGATCCCTAGATTAATAAACCAGCCCTGAGGCCAACAGAATAATGTAGTTACCAGCTTTGACCATGGAAGAGATTGCTATAAAAAAAGAAACCAGATGAGCCGGGGATTTAGCTCAGTGGTTCCACCTCCTGCCTCTCAAGCACAAGGTCCCACATTCAATCCCCGGTACCAAAAAAAGAAACCAGAGTCATAAATTATCAGCCACATCCCCCAGGGCAAACTATCTTGTTTACCTGTCCTAAGTTTTGAGAAGCAAAGCTATAGAAAGTCACATCTTTTGTTACTTGAACATGGCCTTAATATCAAGTAAAATTAAGTTCTGTTGTCAGAGAGACAAAGAAGTAATGGAGAGATCCAAGATTTAAGTGAAAAGAGGCATTCAGATGTTTTCTCTGGTTCTGAGAACGCTGAAGGGCTCTCTGCAAGAAATCCCACCCTTCCTCAGAGATGACCTTTATTTCAACCGTTTAATGATGACGTGATTTTTAATTTTATTGGTGTATGCTAATATTAGATCATAATGAGGTTTATTTGGGGAATTGGTACACACATTTAATGTATCTTACCCAATTTCAAACCAGTATACACCCTCAGTGATGTGGATTTTTACGAGAGAATAAATTTTGGGATGCTAAAAACTTAGGCTAGAAGCAGAGCTGAATTATTCTTTCAGGACCCATAATAGGGCTCAGTAAGTCTCATTATTCATTGTAACAACAACTTAAAGAGCTAAGGAGGCAACTCCTTGCCTATCATGGGTCAAGCACTGGATTCCATTCCCAGTGGCTCCCCCCACAATTAAATTCACAATTAGAAGATAAAACACTTTTCCCAGATATGTTAAAAAATTAGCTTCATCTTTCAGTAAGCGTTCACATGGAAAAGGAACAAAGACTTTAAAAACCATTTCACTTTATATCAGATATACCAAATATGCTCCCATCTACTTAAGAACCTTTAGGGGGCAGTGATGTAGCTCAGTAGCACTGTGCCTGTCTGTAAGTGCAAGGTCCTTAGTTCAATTCCCAGTACCAAAAAAAAGACAAAAGGATCGGTCAGGCATGGTGGTGCATGCCTGTAATCCCAGCACTGGGGAGGCAGAGGTAGGAGGATCCCCTCGAGTTCAAGGCCAGCCTGGGCTACATATGAGTTCAGGGCCAGCATGAACTACAAAGCAAGACCCTGTCTTAAAAAAGAATCATTAAATCCTTATTTATTTTTACTTATTTATTATATAATAAGTATTGTTACATGCTGGATTTCAAAAGAAAAACTGGCCCCATTATAAAGCTTTCATCTTTTCAGGCAGGTGTTTAAATGCTAGTAAATAAATATATTCAATTCTAAAGTAGGTACTATCTGCTAGCTATGTCTGTTACTCTCTTATAAACGCAGACAGCACACTCAGGAGCGAGGACGCTGACAGTGCAGGATATCACTGATGCACTGCCAAGCCACAGTGGGAGCCCTTGCTGCTCCAGCCTCAGAGCCAGATCAGGTCACTGGTCTCGGCACACGATGGCTCAGAAAACACCTGCTTTCTTACTCACCATGTAGCTACAAGTTTCCACCAGTTTCTTTATCTCATTGTTGCTTTAGTATTGAACAGACAGAAAAGAGTGCTTTTGTTATATATTTGAGAATATAACCAGCACCCAGTTTAAAGTATGGAATGCTGACCTCATCTTTGAAGTCCCTCCAAAAACCCTCCCCAATCCCTTCTGTCCACTTCTCACCAATAACCACCATTCTCAATTTTGCATTTATCTTGCCCTTGCTTTTTACACCCACACACACCTTTTCCTTCCTACCAAAGCATCACATGTGCAGAAGCATACACAAGCCATGGAAATTTAGAAATGGACCAAATTCATGTAAGCAGCTCCAGAAACTTGCCCTGTGCCCCCTTTCCCAGCCTTCCCCAGCCTGAAAACCCCACTGCCTTTGGGTTGTAACTACCATCTGTGTGATTTCCCCTCAAGTTTATATTCCCAAATAATACCATTAGCTTTATCAGACAATAACCAACTGTTTGCCAATTTTTTACTAACTTGTATTCCCACTAGGAGCATCAGAGGTGCAGTTGCTATGCAGTCTGCATTACACTCGACACCAACAGCCCTAAGGCTCCTATGATTTGCACTTTCATCTCCCAGTCACTAACGTGGCTGAGTATTTTTTCATGTTTGCTGATCCTTTGTGCTTCCTATTTTGGAAAATAGCTGATTAAATCTCCTAGTCATATTTTTTCTTTTTTGGTACCAGGGATCCAAACTCAGGACCTTGCACTTAGGAAGCAGGCGCAAGCCACGGGGCTAAATCCCTGGCTCCTAGTTATAGTATAACTCTTCGCAGACATTCAAATACTACAAATGACACACTACTATAAACTATGTTTACTAGAGAAAATACTACTAGTTTCAGAGAAAAAGACTATCATTCTGGGAATCACTGTTTAACAAAATCATTACCTGTTCCTTAATGTCCTGTAACTGCTGCTGTAACTTCTGCACATCTGCGTTGACATTGGTATTATCCTTGTCCTTTTGTAACACTGGAATATTCCCACTTGCTAAAATATAGATACAGTTTTTTTAAGTTATTACTGTTTTGACAATCCCTTTGTTTCTAAAATTATTACTATTCTGTTTATTAAAAGACTATATCAGGACAATAGATACAGTAGTGACACTCACGTTACATTCCTTGATTATAATCTTCCAAATACACAGGTTTGCACATTAACTTCTAGTTACATTTAACGCAGCCAGACAACAATCCACACAGACACAGGTTTCCAAAGCTCTGCTTGCTGCCTCTGGCAAGATCACAAACCCATTGTGTTTTCTCTGCTCCTGGACCACAGGAACTCGAGATGGTGGGCAGCACAGAGTTCTGGCAGTGCTAATTAATCTCTCAGGCAATTTTTATGAAGATATGCAACACTTAGAATTTTCCCCTCTTGTTACTTCTCTGAGATTTGAAGCTCAAGAAAGATTGTGATTAGCAGTCTGTAAAACTGGAGGGCAACCTTTGATTTCATATTCTTGGTCTTTAATTTCAATTAATTTTTCCTGGGATTTTTCTGCTCTCTTGGTGAAAAGAGAGCAGAAACGGTAGAAACAGGTACAATAATGTCCCTCATTTATTCATGAAGCATGTTTAAAGAACAAAGAAATCAAAGAAACCATTTAGCCAGTTATCTACTATAAAGACAATTATTCTTTAAGGTGTGCTGTTGAAAAAGGCAAGGTTAGGGTCAGGGGTATAGCTCCGTGGGAGAGCGCTCACCTAGCAGAAGCAAGGACCGAGGTTCAATCCCTAGCTCTGCAAAAAAATACAACTAAAGTAAAGACCATGGTGAAGGTAAACATATTACTGTTCATGCCTCCACTTGTTCACTATGTTACAATCCAACTTGCCTACAGTTACTCTGTCCCAAATAATTACTGTTCCATAAAATATAAAAAGGAGCCAGGTTATTACTTTGGTAAACTGCAAAAATAATTTGTAAGATGATGTCCCTCCTCAAGCTATACTAAATCGGGCTGGGGTGAAGCTCAGTGGTGTAGTATGCATGAGGCCCCTGGATTTGATCCACAGTACCACATGGACGGACACACACACACACACACACACACACACACGGAGCACATGCATACACATGCACATACACACAAAAGATGTCAGGTGTGGTGATACATGCCTGTAAACCAGCTACTTGGGAGACTGAGGCAAGCAGAATCACAGGTTAGAGTCTAGCCTAGGCAACTTACCGAGATCTTGTCTCAAAAACCAGAAAAAGGGCTGAGGAAATAACTCAGTAGTGAGGCATTTCCAAGGAGGGGAGGCAATACACTAAATTTCATCTTAAGAGAACATTCTTTTTTTTTTTTGAGAGCAAACATTCTTTAGGTAAGAACATAATATTCTTGCCAAGCATGGTGGTGCACGCCTGCAATCCCAGCTACTCAGAAGGTTACAGCAAGAGGATCACAAACTGGAGGCCAGAGTGGGCAACCCAGGGAGACTTTGTCTCAAAATAAGTTTTTTGTAAAAGAGCTGGGGATGTAGCTCAGCAATAGAGCATTTGCTTAGCATGTGTCCCCAGGTCAATCCCCAGAACCAAAACAAAGAATAAACAACAGCCCCACAGTATTTTCAAAGTTCTGCAAGCGTAACACAAACTAGAAAAATATACTTTCAGGTTCTTATACTGTGACAAAAGTGCCAGAAAACCACAATTATTTCTGTCAACCCAACTCCACACATCATGTTTCTTTACACAGCAACAGTACAGTACTGTAAATGAAGTTGTTTTCATGCAAGTATCAACACGAAGACAAAATAAGAAAGCGCTGGAGAAGCAGCGGCTCACAGAGCTCATCGCTGGCGTCCTCGGCGCTCTTCCCACCGCAGCACAGCACGAAGGGCACCCTCCGCTCCACCACCGCCCGGCACTGCACACACTTCTTCATCAGGCTGGCACAGTCTGAAAAGCGGCAGAGATTTCTCAGATGCAAGAACTTGAATCAAAGTGTTGCATTTTTCTGTGTTTCTACAGCTCAACCTTCACGCCGAAGTAAACATTAAACAAGCTACACCAGTACCCAATTCCACCAGGCTGAAGTCCTGCCAACCTAAGAATGAGCATTCTCCAATGAAAAGATGACGTTTTCTAATACACTTGAACGTTCCTTTTCCTTCTATCAAAGGGGTGCAATATAACAAGAAAAGTGCTTGGCAACAATTTTTAATGTAGCAGTTCAGGAAAGCATCAACATTTTTTTCATGATACACTATCTTTCTAATAACTACTCTGAAAAGGGTAGAAGCTGTATTTCAGTAGAAGCTTTCTCACCGCCCCCAACTAACTAGGTGAAGCTCTAACTTGTAAATTGTTAATATTACCTTACATATAAAGTTGATTATAAAATAACAGTCAATACTTATTTTTTTTGGTACCAAGGATCGAACTCAGAACCTTGCACTTGTGAGGCAGGCAGCGGAACCACTGAGCTAAATCCCCAGCCCAACAGTCAATACATTCTTTGGCATTAGCATTTAATATGAAAATACACTCCGTATCTTAGCCTATACCAAGAGTCTTTCCCTTTGTTGTTCATTTTAATATGAGGAAAAGTACTGAGAACATGGCAGGCTACCACAGACAACCTTAACAAAGCTCCAAAACACTGATGTGGACAGGCTGGGCCATGCCAACAGCTCCACTGGGGTGAGAATCATTTCCAAAGGGGGACACCAAAGCCAAAACATAACAGGCTGAGATGCTTGGTTATGCAAGATGCTAAGATGCAGTAGAAGTTAATGATAATAGAAATCTATTTGGAATTTGTCTTCAATTTGGGGGCACAGTTTTCTCTTAAATTGAGGATTGTCTCAACACATAATATATAACCACAATTATTTAAAATTCCTGAGACTGTTTTAAGTTCAGGTATTTATTGTTTCTACAAGAGCTTTCCTCAGCCCTTTCAGAAAGGCTATAACCCTTCAACCCTTCCTTCCCTTGCCCTGCCAAGGCACATTATACTCTTCAAGGCTCCAACACTCTTAACATTACTATGATGTGGGTACAGGACTAATACTTTGGTGTACTTTTTGGGAAAGAGATATTTTCAACCTCAACTTCATCTTCTCAAGTAAGTGTTTAAGAACATGTTTATAGGGCTGGGGATTTAGCTCAGTGGTTCCGCCGCCTGCCTCACAAGCTCAAGGACCTGAGTTCGATCCCCAGTACCGGGAAAAAAAAAAAAAAAAAAAAAAGAACATGTTTATAAAATGTAGAAAATCATTTGCTTCTTAGGACTGTTCTGAAAATAAATGAGGAAATATATTAAAAGAGATTAAAATGTTTAGTACAGAGTTAAAGCTCAATAAAAGTCATTGCTCATTGCATTTTAAATCAAAAACTAAAAATTTTGGAGGCTCTTGAGGAAAATATACATTAAAGCTCAAGAATCTGTGTTATCAATGAATAATGACAATCATCTTTCAAGACTCGTGAGAGTATCACTTTAGTCTATGGCAGTGGTGGTGAACCAATGGCACGCGTGCCACAGCAGGCTGTTTATATCATTGAAAGCTCTAGAAGGTTCGCCATCACTGATCTATGGTATGGATCAGCAAATCTGACCTTTGGCTGCTTTTGTAAATAAAGTTTTAAAAGAACATAGTTATATCCATTTATTCACATATTTTCCTTTCTTGTTTCTGCATTACAACGTCAGAGTTGAGTACAAGAGTTGAGTGGTTACTAAAGAAGCCAAGTGGCCTACAAACCTGAAATATTTACTACCTGACCCTCTACAGAAAAAGTCTGCCAACCTCTAGTCTACAAAAACTTAATCAGAGCTGCTTTTACTTAAGATAGAACTCTTTTTCTTCATGCCCCTTTGACATTACACTAGTCTTTGGTAAACAGAAACAGTTACTTGAAGTCGACTGTCACAGTCAAAACCCTTGACTCCAGCCGGGGATTTAGCTCAGTGGTTCCGCCACCTGCCTCACAAGTGCAAGGAGTTCGATCCCCAGTATCAAAAAAACCAAAAACAACCCTTGACTCTTTCTTTATTTAATCTTCTATCAGAATGGAGGGAAAAACAAAACAAAACATCAGGGCTTAAGAAAATCTATGCCAATGAGATTACACTATCACCCTGTCTGTATATTATTCTAGTTAAGTGGCTGAACTATTTTATAACATGAAATACTATATTTATCCTGGATCATTTATGTAAGGTGTAAGTTGTTAAACTTGTTTAAAATCTTTCATTGATTTAAACTTTAAAAAGCAAAAGGGAAGGGGAGGATATCAAACAATGTGAGAAAGTGAAAAGGACAAAGGGGATGTAAAAGGCAAAGGGTTCCAAGAGAATCTAGTTAAAAAAATTTTTTTAAACATTTCTTGAAATTCAATATTGTCCTCACAAAGGAAAGATTTTATAAATCCTCTTGATATACAGTTACTGGAAAGCCAGATATCACAGCTCCAAATGGTGCTGGGAGTTGTGTGGGAATGGGACAAGTACACAGGATAAGCAATATTCAGATGAAAACCAAGGAAGATGCACCACTTGAACATGCAGAAAGGGCTGTACTACACGTTTCCATACTCCTTTTTTGGAAATACATTTCTACTGTCTGTGAAGAGATCACTTTGTGCCAATAATACAACTGAAATGAAAATCCAAGAGCATAGCACATTCAGTCTTCTCTAGTGCCCAGGAGCAGCAAAGGAAGGACCTGGCACTGTCAGGGAGATAGAGAGGAAGGCCTTTCAACATTATCTGTGGGTTACCCAAAAGACAAAAGAAACAAAAACCTTCAACTATGTGACTTTTGTTTCACTTTATATTTCTATAATCACATGGGGAGCTTCATAAAGACAACTTACTCTCGCAAGCACACATGTGTCCACAGGGTTGAAAAAGAACAGCTGCTTTCTTGTCAGAGCACACCACACATTCTTCGATCTATGGCGATGAGAGGAAAGCACAGTGAGTACCCACAGTAAGCCAAGCTTCTTCCACAGCTCCTTCCTCGTCCTAATCCGTTTCCTCACAGCACAGCGAGCCTCTATGCTCATGGTTGCACCTTTCCACATCTTTGTGTGCCCCAGCTTAGGAAGACTATGCTGCATTAGTCTCCCTACCAGTCCTAAAGAATGGTACAGAAATCTCCATTCCCTCTGAGATCAGCGAGGCGGGGCTCCACTTCAATTCTCCTTTCCCTTTTTTTAAATGACTTTGGAAAGGGAACTAAAAGGATAATGAGCAAAGAAACATACAAATGGCAAAGAGAAGGTGGATTTGCAACATTAATAAAAACCTAGCCAGATGAGTCAGCTTACTAAAGTCCAAGAGGGATTTTTCTGTTACCTCCAGCTGAGGAACTTGCCTGATAAAAGCACCCCTTTCCCAGAACATGGTCGACCCCATGCTGGCTGGGGCCCAACACTATGGCTTCTCCTTTCTCTCTGATCTCTGATGCCCCAAGTCTTCCACAGCCTAACCACAATTTCCTGCCCTTTTCCACTTCACTAGTTTTTTTTCACTGAGTTTTGCATGTGTAGCTAGGAACAACCTTGGCTCTAGTCTCCTTTTCACCCTGCCCCACACCTTTGCCCCTGGGTTCATGTCTGTCTTTCGCTTATGCTCCTTCCTAGCACAGTCACCTGCAATCACATCACTCTCTTTTGTTTTGTTTTTTGTTTTTTTGAGAATGTACTTCAGGCTGGCCTTGAACTAACTATGTAGACCAGGCTTGCAGTGATCCTCCTGAGTGCTGGGATTACAGGTGGGTAGCGCCATGTAATATTACTCCCCAAACAATGGCTACCTCTCACCTATAACGTCACCTACAGAACCAGGCACCACATCCTCTCCTGCTCGAGGGTTCTCCCAAGTTACATGCCTGCATCTACACAGGATTCAGTGATGACAGCAGAATGCATAACCACACAGGTCAGGACCCTGACATTCCTGGATTCTAACTCTACCTCCAGCACGAACAAATTACTTAACACTGTTTTTAGAATTTAAAATAATACAGCAAACTGATCTAACAATTCACCCATACTCCTATTAAAAAGAAAAACCATTGTTACCACAACTCTTCCAACTTCTGGATTATTTCCTGGGGTTACACTCCCAGGAGTGGATCAGTAATCAAACAAAGCATGCTGTTGTGAAATGGTTTGTATACACTAAGGATGACCTTCCAGCCTCTAGCTGTGTTTAGAAAATGGTCATTTCCCACTTTCCTCATTAGCATTTTTAAAAAACTTGTTTTGGCTAATTAAACAAAAACACTTCTTGTTCATTTGTAGTTTATTTGTATTGCTCTAATTACTAAAGCATTCAACCTGACTTATACTCCCTCCAAGTACTAGTTTTGGGGTTTTTTTTCCTTTGGTTTTTTGAGACAGAACTTGTAATCCAGGCTATCCTTGAATTTGTGATCCTCCTGCCTCAGTCTCCAGAGTGCTGAAATTACAGGGGTGTGTGTTAACAGTTCTGGCTTAAATGCTAATCTTACAGTTTATTTTTCTTCAGTGAGGATGTTCATTATCTTTTAACCACTTGGGGTCACTATTTCTTTATAACCAAAGGCTTTGCAATCAACAGAGCAAATTTGTTGGGTGGCCATGTAAGTTTTTGCATTTTACAGGTTTGGAAATTTCATACAATACAAAGTAAAATTAAAATATATCTAAAGGTTATAGAGGGCTCTGAAAGAAAACAGTAGACAACTTGTATAAAGACAACTTGTATAGTAGACAACTTGCATAAAGACGTATAAAGAAAGAAACAGAGGTAAAAAGTTTTCTGAGTGTTCAAAACAGTATTGCTAAATTCAGGTAATAATGAACTTGGAAAAATAAGTGCTCTAGTAAGACTGTAAACTAGTAGTGAAGTTATGAAATTCTGGACTGATTGCTTGATAAATATATAATTACATATTCCTATATTTTAAAACCATTACATGGAACAACAAAATTAAACAAATGATACATATAATCTTAATTTATAATTATAGCCTCAAAGAACTTCATAAAATACTACATAAAAATATATTTATTACCTTTGTCCTAGACTGAACTTGTTCTTTACAGATGAGGCATTTCTTGACTCGTGGCGAACATAAGGAACAGGTTGCAATGTGTCCACATGGGCCAAAGAGTGTATCTCTTTTCATATCTGAGCACACCATACACTCTTCTAGGGTTTCAGAATCATTGCTAATCATAGAAGGACTCCGAGAACCCACCTGACCACTAAGGAGAAAAAATACCTCAAATCAAGTTCACCAAAACACTTCTATAACAAATTCATTAATCAAAATGTTTTAAAAATCATCTAGAGCATTAGTATACATAAAAACAACTCTGGTTATTTTTAAAATTAAGTGTTACCATCTTTATATGAAACCCTGTAAATTATATTTTTTCATTCATTTATGTGTCTCTGTATTGTTACATCTAGTTCCATTCAAACTTCAAACTCAATCATCCTCACTCAGTGGAAAAGGGTGAATCTTCTAACAAAGAAGTGAAAAACACCAGTAAAAAAATAATTTAATGTAAACAAAATTTAACTCCGGAACTGTTCATTTTTTAAAGAGTAGGAAAGGTTTACTGAGAATAGGAACAGCTCCTGAGAGACAGGAGGGCCCTCGAGTGGGTTGCTGCTTTTTATCTGCAGACTTGTTCTGTCTACACAGGACACACGTTTTGTGTGTATGGTCCTCAAGCAGCATCTCCCTCCCCCACATCTGGCATATCTACATCAAACATCTATACTGAATATATCGACACAGAAGGGATAGGAATAAAACAAAAATCCTAACTAGCAACCACATTGTACTAACCAAAGACAAAGCCCAACAGACGGGGGCACTTTGGAAAATGTCTGGACATGTCATTGAATATATCCTTAAGGAACATGTGTTACAGAAAGATAAAATGCATACATAAATATAGGAATACAATGCACAGAACTATGTATATATAAATATAAACGGCTAATTACAGCTGAAAAACAGAAACCGGTTTTTTTTTTGGTTTTTTTTGAGACAGGGTCTTGCTCTGTAGTTCAGGCTATCATTGAGCTCACTATGTAGCCCAGGCTGGCCTCAAACTCCCGGCAATCCTCTGCCTCAGCCTCCCAAGAGCTGGGATTATAGCCATGTGCCACCACACCTGGCTTAGGAACACTCTTGTTTCTACCACAAGCATCAGAAACTCATGCATTCACACAAACACAGAGGTCCCATCTTAAACTCCACTGCTGCCATTGCAGTAATTATTGCAGTGCAGTACCTTGAATCTATTCTTTCTGCAACAGGACTTTTTGCTCCTACAGACAGATTTAAAGAAGTGTATATACCTTAGACATTACTCTCTCTGTAACACAGCTGTGTGGATTCCAAAGAGCCACCAGTTCATCACTACACATGTTACAAAGGGGTGAGAGAACACATATGTTGAAGTCCAGCTACTGACACATTCTGTGTAAGAAACTGGTATAAAAGACAATAATAGTTGCACAGTGCTGTGCAGATAAAAAAGTAGACATGCGTACCTTTTTGTATGTCTATAACATCTCATTATAAGAAAATTATTTATGTCATAAATAATAAAATCACTGACATTTTACTTTCAGGAAAAAGAGAAATGGGAATGATCATGTTTAGAAAAAACTCCACACTGAACAGATTCACTCATTCTTTCAATTCTTTACTAATACTTCTTGAGTGGCTGCCAGGCTCTATGTGAGATGCTAGAACTGTTAGTTTGTGTAAGACACACCCCGTTCACAGGCATTCAAACATGTAACATTCATCACAGTAACTGTACTAGTGGAACTTTCCTTACATTAAAGTCCTCCTAGCACAGGATCCCTAGAAGATGAGACAAGGCTAGAAGCTTCGGGGACTCACTCTGCATAAGGAAGAGTATTTAAAGATGAGGGCTAGGGCCGGGGATTTCGTGGTTTTGCCGCCTGCTGCGCAAGCGCAAGGACCCGAGTTCGATCCCCAGTACCAAATAAATAAATAAATAAATAAAGATGAGGGCTACACAACACAAAGTGCCAGACAAGCTGCCTGGAGGGAAGTTTTCAAGGAAGAAAAAGCCAACAAAGAGATACAGGAACTAAGCGGGTGATGGTGCACGCTTGTCATCCCAGCCCTCAGGAGGCTGAGGCAAGAGGATTGTGGTAGTTCGAGGCCAGCCTGGGCTACATGGCGAGCTCCTGTCTCAAAAAAAATAGGAACTCAACAGCACAGGTAAAGATTTTCAGATGGTCAGCTCCTCCATTATGCAACCATGGGATACTTTATGCACAGAATAATAAGTTTTATGATAATAAATAATACAAACCTGACTTTTTCCTTGTGACACTTTGCCAGTGCTTTGCAGAGACTTGGATCAGGACAGAGGTCGAGCGGTGACTGACCCTTCTTATTCCGAATGCCAAGGTCAGCTCCATTGGCTGCCAAGAAACAGGCAATAGATGCTGCACTCTTCTTCTCTGCCCCCTGGGTTCCAAGTCCCATTATCAACTGAAAGCAAATGAGAAGAGTCATGCTTTTCCCTGTGGGAATCTGCTATCAATATTCCCGCCATCCATTCAATTATATGAGTATGTGTGTCACGGGCACTTAAGAGTTTCGGTCTTACCCACTCCTCTTGTCCCTTCCTCAATTTTCTCAGGCATGCAGCGTGAGAACTGATTCACTCTCCAGCCCTAGAGGTGGAAGGACTGGCGGTGGCTCTGCCTGGCTCTGCTTATGGTATTAAAGAAATAGTACTCTTTTCTACTCAATTCGGCTCTGCATCTGCTAGCAATCAACTTGAAACAATGAAAGGAAAGACAACTGAGAAAAGAACCAGTACACATAAACTGAGCCAAAAACTGGAGTGAGACAAATGAGGTTCTGAAAATATCTGACTACTGATTCAAACATCATATCTGAAAATAGTCACAATAATTGTTAAGATTTATTATCTGGGGCTGGGGGTCTAGCTCAATGGTACGGCGCCTCACAAGTGCAAGGTCCTGAGTTCAATTCCCGGTACCAGAAAACAAAACAAAGCAAAACAAAAAAAGATTTTTTATCTGTAATGGACAAAGTACTATTTTAAGTACTTTTCATGATTTTTATAGCAACTTTACATAGGCAGGTACTCCCCTTCCTCCATTTTAATATAAGAAGAAAAGAGGCTCAAAGGAGTTAATAGAATATACCCACATTCACACTGTAAGAGAGCAATTAAAAACATTCTGGTCTCAGAACCACTTGACACTTAAAAATGACTCCAAAATGGAAATGGAAATATGAAAAGAAGAAAATTGAAGGACTTCAATGCCTGAATTCAACATTTACTATAAACCCTTGGTGATCAAGACAATTGGGCTAGCATCACATAGCCCAAAGGAACAAATGACAAGATCCAGAAAGAAACCTTTACATGTCTAGTTAACTGATCTTAGATAAAGCTACACAGTTAACTCAGTAGAAAAAGACAGTCTTTCCGACAAAAGGTGGAGGATCAATTGGATATCCACAAACAAGAAAATGAATTTTGAGCCCTATATCACATAATACACAAAAGTTAACTCAAAATGAACCACAGACCCAAAAGTAACTTCTAGTACAAAAGAAGAGTAAACCTTAGTTATCTCGGGTTTGGCAAATTTCTCAAGAAACAAAAAGCACAAACAATAAAAGAAAAAACTGAGGCTTGGGATTTAGCTCAGTGGTTACAGTGCCTACCTTGCAAGTGCAAGGTCCCAAGTTCAATCCCCAGTACCAAAAAAAAAAAAAATAAGAACCTAACATTTTGGGCTGGGGATTTAGCTCAGTGGTTCCACTGCCTGCCTCACAAGCGCAAGGACCCAAGTCTGATCCCCGGTACCAAAAAAAAATAAAAGAAAAAACTGATTAAAGTTAGACATATCAAATTAAGAACTTCTGCTCTTCCAAAAACACTGTTAAAAGATGGGCTTGGTGACAGCTGCCTGGAATCCTTATGACTTGGGAGGCTGAGCCAGGAGGATTGAGAGTTTGAGCCCAGCATGGGTAACATAGAGACTTCATCTCAAAAATCAAAACACTATTAAAGGAAGGAAAAGCTGAGGCGAGCATGCATGCTCCTCGTCTCCTGCCACATGAGACCTATACCAACTGGGAACGTGGCAGCAAGGCCAACACCGGAAGCGGTCCCGACCTGGCACATCTAGATCCATTTAGATCCAGAAGCACCTTGGGGAAACCTGGATTGAATGAAGGATTACCTCAGAGCCTTCTCAGAAGAGTGAGGGCCCCATTTATAAAGAAGGCAGCACTCACCTTGGATTGCCCTCTACATGGAGAAAAGATCTGTGGATCCATCACAGGCAGCCATTCAGCCATGCATCTGCACCACTGGGAGGACAAGGGGTCCCCTGTGCCAATGCTATAGGACCTCTAATTACACACCTGGCTCTTGAAAGCCACTTTGGAACACTGTTGCTAAGCTATCATTCCTATTCCAAATAAATTAACATAGGATTTTATCAATTATTGTGACAGAAAGAAAAGTGAAGAAAAGAAAAACATGACAAATCACAGACTAAGAAAATATGTTCATGTCACACATCTGATAAGCAACTTGTACTCTGGTTACACAAAGAACCCTCGGCTGGGCATGATGGTACACGCCTGTAATCCCAAGATTCTGGGACATGGAAGCACGAGAATCATCAAGTTCAAGCCAACCCTGGAAAATTTACAAGACCCTGTCTCAAAAAAAAAATGTTTAAAAGGGCTAAGGCTGTAACTCAGGGCCAAGGCTCTGGGTTCAGTCACCAGTGACACACACACACGCTTTCCATGATACCAAAAACAGACAAGGAACCCCTCCAAAAAGAGGAAAACTATAGACTAACATCCTCAATAAATATACATGCAAAAATCCTTAAGAAAACCCTTGCAAACTGAATTTAACAACACATTTTAAAAGATCATACACCATGAGCAAACTGGTTTCATTCCAGGGATGAAAGGATAGTTCTACATATGTAAATCAATAAACACAATATATCACATAAGTAGAATCAGACTTTAAAAAAAAATCACATGATCATTTCAACTGATGCAGAAAAGCCTTTGACAAAATTCAACATCCTATCATGCTGAAAGCTCTGAGGAAACCAGGTACGAATGGGTCACCTCTCAGTACAGTAAAGGTCCTATATGACAAACCCATAACCAGCATCATTCTGAACGGGGAAAACTGAAAGCTTTTCCTCTACAATCAGGGACAAGGCAAGGAGGCCCACTCTTAGCACTCCTACTCAATATAGTTCTTAAAATCTTAGCTCCAGTGATTAGGAGAGAGAAAGAAATAAAAGGGATACAAATAGGAAAGGAGGAAGTCAGATAATCCTTTTTTCCCTGGTACTGGGAATCAAACTGAGGACCTTGCACTTGCCAGGCAGGCATGGTACCACTGAGCTAAATCTCTGGCCCTCAAAAGACTTTTAGAACAGGTAAGTGAATTCAGCAAAGTAGCAGGATATAAAATCAACATTTAAAAAATCAATAGCTGCTCTATAATGAACTAGCGGAGAAAGAATTCAGGAAACAATTCCATTCACAATAGCTTCCAAAACTTAAATACCGAGTGATCAATCTAACCAAAGTGAAAGACCTCTACAATGAAAATTTCAGAACACTGAAGAAAGAAATTGAAGTACACATCAGAAAACAGCAAGACTTTCCATGTTCAGGGATTGGTAGAATTAATATTGTCAAAATGGCCACATTAACAAAAGTGATCTACAGACTCAATGCAATCCCCATCAAAATAGCAATGACAATCTTCACAAAAGTAGGGGGAAAAGATCCTAAAAGCTCATATGAAAACAAAAGACCCAGAATAGTCAAAGCAATCCTAAGCAAAAACAGGGAGGCTGGAGGCATGGACAATATCACATTTCAAAAAACACTACCCTTCTTAACCAGGTACTGATCAGATGAGCAGTAAATACACAATCTTGCCTTAAAAGATGCTCCACTGGCACTGTGTGAAAGCTTAGCTTCACTTACTGTGTTTTTCGATGGCTCCCAGGCAGCATCTACCTTCCCCACATCCTGCATGTCTTGAAGCTGACGCAGCTGGGACAAAGTGTGGTGCCTCAGAGCTTCATGCAGAGGAGTATCTCCATCCTTATCCTGAATATCCAGCTTGGCACCAGCACGGACCAAAAGCTAAAAGGGAAACAGGTCTCATTTTGGTAAAGTGCCCACAGCCCCAAGGAGCCACCGAATCTTGAGGAACGGGGAGAACGCCCTGGTCCTACTTGAAGGACTATTGGCCACTACGGCCAATGGTTCTGATGTCTCTGCTTCCCACCATTCTACACCCTGCAGCTCCTTACAAAGAGGGACATGTTCTGGTGACTCAAATATACTGAATTAGAGGGCCGGGGATTTAGCTCAGTGGTTTCGCCACCTGCTGCGCAAGCGCAAGGACCCGAGTTCGATCCCCCGTACCAAAAAAAAAAAGAAAAAAAAATACTGAATTAGAGCAAAATGAAAGAAATGTGAATCAGTACGTTGCTTAACTACACCCTCCCAGAGAAAATAAACAGTTGACATATTTCAATAGACAACTTATGCAGTAAAGGTAAAGTTTATTTAACATTTTGCTTATGATGAGTTAACAATTTTCCTACTCCTTTCTACAAATACATTCCATCAAAGAGCTTTAGAAAAACAGTATCTATAGAAACCACTCTTAAGCATATGGTCTTGACTTGGCAAATTACGTACTTTTTTCTTTGTTCCAACAGGTTACATAAAATGGCAGTCTGGGCTCTTCCACCACTCTTCCACCAAGTTCACAGTGATGCTGACACTGCTGCTTCGGCTGCTAAACTTTAAGAATCACTGTTCTACAAAAATATTGAAACTAATACTCTTTCAACTATTTTTGTTTGAAATCCCCAAACTAAGTAAAAGAAGAAAGTTTTTGTTTCAGCATTTTGGGAATTTGCAGCACCAAATGTTGAGGGAACGCTTTTAGTCTGTAGTTTACTCTCAATAACGCCTATTACATTCTCTCTAACGTACTTTTAAAGCTAATTTATAAATTCCTTTTTGAAATTTTCTCATTTGATATTCCAGGAGCTCACAAATCTGGCAACAAAATGATAGACTTGGACTCAAACATTTAAGATTTTTGCTATTAGAAATTAAAATTCCAGGGGCCAAGGATTTATTTAGCTCAGTGGTTCCGCCACCTGCCTCAAAAGCACAAGGTCCCGAGCTCAATCTCTGGTACCAAAAAAAAAGAAATTAAAATTCCACTCAACTGATAAAAAACATTAGCCTAAAATCCTGTTTTGCAGCAAACTATGTGTTTTATAAATTTTTTTTTTTTTGAGATGCTATATGGCCCAGGCTGGCCTCAAATTCACAGCAATCTTCCTGCCTCAGCCTCCCCTAAGAGTTGGGATTACAAGTGTGTGTGCCACCACGCCTGGTGCGATTTTTTAAGAAATCTAACACTTTATCAACTTTCAAGAGATTCTAAAACTCAGTTTGGTTAAAAACACAAAGACACAGCCGTGACCTGATGTGTACGTTAGTTGGTACTGTACCCTAACGATCTGGGTGTGCTGTCGCTCAACGGCGAGGTGTAGGGCAGTCTGCTGGTTCACATTCTGGATATCCAGGTTTGCATTACCCTGAACAGGAACAAATGTTATACGTGGTTAGATTCTGACAACAGTGAAAGACATGAAAACTGTATTCAGAGGACTAAGTAACAACGGATACTTTTGAACACTTTCTATTCTTTCCAAGGTGCTACAACATTATTCCTACATGGTAACAAAACGGGTGGAGCAGCAAACTTCCTGAAGTCAAATCGTTTAAAAATTTTTTTCTGTTATAGTGATTCCAACTAAGAACAGTTCAAGAATAAGGCACAGGACAGAGCTCAAACACAACTCTCTTCCAATCCCTATTATAAAGCAATCCTGATCACTTCTTTGAACGCAAATACTCCACAAAGTTACCAGATGTTCGTATTGGCCTTAGATTTACTCTAATAATTTGGTAAACTGACTTTCCCTGTTTCACTTGAGCTGAGGAGAAGGTGGTGTTTAATCAGTATATAAAGGCGTTGTTAAAGGGAGACCAGAATCCCTCCCCAGGGCTAGGAGAGCCGAAGGACAACCTGGGAACAGGCGATGCCCAAGCCGAGGACAGGAAGGGCCTGAGGAGCAAAGCAACTGAATTCAGCGTTGGGGGACGTCAGGGGACCTTGGTTCATGCTCCACCACTTGTAAGTGAGGCAACTGTGGCCTGCACTACACCATTTCCTGCCCATCTCCTCAGTTCCAAAATGGTGTCATTACAATCCATCTCACAGGCTTTAAGTGAGGACTAGGAAAAATAATGTCAAACTGCCTAGCACACTTTCTAACATAATAAAAAAACATGAAATTAAGAAAAGAGCTAAAGATTCAAAAGATGTACTCTTATTTTGTCTGGGTCTTAAAACCACTCATAAAACTGGGCTGGCTGGTGCATGCCTGTAATTCTAGCTACTCTAGAGGCTGAGACAGGAGGATCCCAAGTTCAAGGCCAGCCTGGGCAACTTAGTAAGACTCTGTCTCAAAATAAAAAGCAAGAATGACTGGGGATAACAGCTCAGAGGTAGAGTGCTTGCCTAGCATGCACAAGGGACTTTACTAAAACAATAAATAAACATTTGACCACGTGTGTGTGATTCTACTTGCATTTTCTATTCTTTTGATCAGTATGATTATTTATATTGAAAATGTTAAGGAATCTATAATGAATCTACTACAACTAATAGTAAGTTTAAGCAAAGACATATGATAGAGTGAACACTCAAATTATGACCAGCCTAACATACGAACAACTTGGGTTAATTAGGTTAATAGAAGATTCATCTGCCTCTTGTTACCTATAGCGTGTACCCAGGTAAACCTGATCTCAGCTGAATTAACTTACAACCAGCTTGAGTTACAACCAGCCCCTGGGAACCAACTGAGTTCATAAGTCAAGGATCCACTGTGCATAGGTAAAATATAAAAATAATTGTAGGGCCGAGGATTTAGCTCAGTGGTTCCGGCGCCTGCCTCACAAGCTCAAGGTCCCGAGTTCGATCCCCGGTACCAAAAAATAAATAAAAATAAAAATAATTGTATTTATATATACTTAGCAATATATAACTGGAAACTGAAATGTAAAAACAATTCAATTTACAACAGCATCCTAAAAAAAGCAATCTATGGATAAATCTAATATATGGAAGAGCAAACTCCCAAGAGACTTTTTAATAAACTGATATGTTCATTCTAAAATGTTTATGGAAATACAAAAGATCTAGACTTATTAAAGTAATTGTGAGAAAGAAGAAAAACAGGTGGAGGTTTACACTATCTGATTTCAAAACTGAATATAAAGCAACAATAACCAAGGCAGTGTGGTATTGGTGTAAGTCCAGACATTTAGAATTGAATAAAAAGGAATTTTTTAAAAAAAATCAGGGATTGAACTCAGGACTTTGAGCTTGTGAGGGAGGCATGGTGCCACTTAACTAAATCCCAGGCCCAAAAAGGAATTTTCATAATTAATGAAGAGAGTGGTTAATTTTAACAGAAAAGGATTAAAACGGCAGGGAAAAGGTAGGTGAATTATTTCTTTAAATTTCTGTCCTTTTGGGATGTGTGTCTTATAACCTGGTACTTAGTTACACATAAATAGTATTTACTAAATTGCTCTGTTGTTTTATCTTAACCTAGACTGTAAGTCCTTCAAAGCAAGGAGCCAGGGATGATTCTTGGTAACTCTGTGCATCTCTATGGCCCATGCTCTCTGTAGGCCCCGAGCTTCTCCACACATAGCAGCAGTTATGAATGTCCTCCCAAGCTGGCTGCAGGCTGCAGTCTAAGGCCACTGGCCACACCAGCTAAAGTATTAACAGGGATGGTTGCTGGTCCTGCGGATCATTGCTACTTCTGCAACAGCAGTGGCGGCTCTGGAAAATCTCTGTCAGCTGAGGCCTATGTCACTGGCCCAACCCAAGATGTGCAGAAAGAATGCTGAGAGCTGAGGCCTCTGAGCTCCTGTGCACCCAACCCACACAGCCCTTCACTGAAGAAGCAGCCTAAGGTAGTGGCCTGGGCTCCCTGGCACAGCCCCTGGCCCCGGGCCCTGGGCCCTGACCCCCGGCACCCCCCTCTCTGATGCCATCCCTCCCTCTGCTTCCTGGCTGCCACGAGTTGAGCAGCTTTCCTCCACCAGACCCTTCTACCCTGGAGCCAGTTAATCACAGATTAAATCCTCTTAAGCCAAGAGCCCAAATTCAACCTCGCCTCCTCAAGCTGTGGTGTCAGGGATTTTGTCCCAGCAACAGGAAAGCTGACCAATACAGGCAGGAGATAGGACTGGCATTATGTCCAAATTATCATCATCATGGGGTCTATTGTAACATACTAACAGGCATTTGGTGGAGAATTAAATGCATGAATACAAATATTCCAAAATTATTTTAAAAATTATTAAACTGCTTTCCCTACCTGGTGTACTAACAGTTCAGCCACTTCCACATGGTTATTAAGGGCAGCCAGATGCAAGGCAGTATAACCATCATCTTTCTTCTCATCCACAATCCATGGTCTTGGTAATTTTGACAGTAAAACACGCATTGCACTGAAAATCAAATTCATATTATTTTCATATTTACATTGTTTATATTTAATTTGATCTTTTTATTATTTTCTTTAGAAAATTATACTCAGAAGAAACTTTTGAAATCAAGCGAAGATACTCTTAAAGAAAATCATTCCCAGAATTTGGGAGGCTGAGGCAGGAAGATCGCACAGAGTTCAAGGCCAGCCTGGGTTACACAGTGAGTTCAAGGCCAGCCTGAACTTCATAGTGAGACCCTGTCTCAAAAAAATAAAAATAAAGACAAATAAATAAAATCATTCCTTAAAAACAAAAAGAAATCTAATTATTCCAATTCTCAATGTGTAGTTTTTTATATTTTGAAAAGTAAATAATCACTACTTTGAGAACAGACTTAAAAGAGAATGGAAATGCTATAAAGAAGAAACTGTTGGAACTACTCAGCCATAAAGAAAGAGAAACTAGGGCCAGGGATTTAGCTCAGTGGTGCCACCGCCTGCCTCACAAGCGCAAGGTCCTTAGTTCGATCCCCAGTACAAAAAAACAAAAAAAGAACGAGAAACTAGAGACATTTACAGCTAAATGATAGATGCCCATTAAGGCCATACTCTTAAGTGAAATAAACAGGACACCCTTGTAAATACCAAATAGTTTCTCTAGTGTGAGAAACTGAAAGTGGAAATAAGGACTAAAAGGTATAACAGATAATGTGAAATAGGAAGAAAAGGGGAAAAGGGGAAGAGGAAGTGGGAGGGATTGGGGAAAGGAAAGAAGGGAATGGAATTAACATGAGAAAATGGAAACAAAGTCTTTGCAAATAAAGAGGGGTGGAGGGGTTGAAGGGAGGGCAGGGGAATGGGGAAAAAAATAAGAACCAAGGTACATCATGTAAAGATACAAGATCCCAATGATGAATGTAACTGTTCTGTATACCTAAAATGTACCAATAAAAATTTAAAATAAAAAGAGTGATGGAGAAAAAAAATCAAAGAAGAAAGGAATGTACTCTAATGAGAACACAATTTTGGCTTTGTGGAATCTTTAAGGTTTAATTTCAACAGTATCTATTTAAGTCATAGGATCTATTTTGGTTTTTTTGGTACTGGGGATCGAACTCAGGTCCTTCAGCTTTCAAGGCAAGTGGCAGAACCACTGAGCTAAATCTCCAGCCCTCAACAGTATCTATTTAAAAAGTTAAAGAATAGTTACGTAACAACAAACTAAGAGTAGGAAAAGAGTGATAAAACTTTACATAGTTGACAGAGTGTCATGAATGACAGATTTAAAATCTGATGTAAGTCATTTACTAGTTATCACAAAATACATAAAATGACAATTACAACCTAAAATTTAAGAATTGTTAATAAAGTATTTCCAAAGCAAAAAAAAAAGTACAAAGTTCGCTTCAAAGGTTTAAAAGCAATCTCTGAAAAACTAATGTAAAATTAGAGGCAACTCTTCTTAACAAAAAGATTTTATAGCAGGTGTGGTGGCACATGCCTTTAATCCCAGCACTCTTCGAGGCTGAGGCAGGATCATCCGGTAAGAGTTGCTCTAAGAATTAAATAAAACAAACAGGGTAAAAATGTTTTCATCACAGGGTCTGAAACGCCTCGATATAATTATATCACGGCAACTCTTAGACTGCAGACCTAAGGCCTTCTTAATACAAGTTCTTCCATCCCCTCCTCCCTCCCAACACCCCTCCTCACATCAGCCATCTGAGTCAGAACCTGGAATCATGCCTGATACTCAGTATGTCCTACTGATTTTCCCTACTGAAACTACCTTTCCCCAAAGCCCCAGAATCCTTTAAATAAGCCACCCCCCTTCCTAACCTATCCTATCACTTGCACACAAATATGCCATCTCATGATTTTCACCAATTCAAAATTATCAACATTCATCCAGCAAAAAGATGTCCTAAAAAGGTAAATCTTTCTAATCAGACTGATATTGAAGAAAATTATTCTAAAATATAGCTTTCCACAATAATATGTTGAGTCTATATTTAATAGAACATGAGTCTTATTTAATGTTTTCTTGAAATCAACGTTAGAAAATCAACTCTTGGGGTGGGGATTTAGCTCAGTGGTTTCGCTGCCTGCTGCGCAAGCACAAGGACTCGAGTTTGATCCCAGGTATCAAAAAAAAAAAAGAAAAGAAAATCAACTCTTGGTTTACTGGTATAAGCTGTGGAGAAGCGTTGCAAACAGCCCCATTCAGAATGAATGCAAGGAACTGGACATGGGGCACAAGCCTGTAATCCCAGTTTTGAGAAGCTGAGGCAGGAGGAGCCTGAGTTTGAGCCCAGCCTGGTAGCTCTGTGTGAAAGGCTGGGCTCAATTCCCAGCATGGGGGAGGGGTGGAGCAAGGTCAGTTATATGTAGCCAAGAGTAAGGAGATTAGTTTTTTATTTATTTTACTGTTGTTTATTTAATTTATTATTATTTATTTTATTCATTAATTCATTTACTCATGTTTAAACAGTGCTGAGGATCAAACTCAGGCTTTTAGCAAGCTAGGCAAAAGCTCTACCACTGAAATACACCCCAAGCCCCATGTTTTTTAAATAAAATTTTAATTTCAGATTTACAGAAAATTAATTTTTCTCTACTGCAGCACACCGAAATACATTTACGGCTCCCTATGCTCCGACAGCTTCCCTTGTCTCTGATGACCGAGAGGTGTGGAAGGGACACTCGGCCACCTGAGCAATGTTCGTCAGTTGGGGTTCGTCTGTTTGTCTCACGATTACACTGGGCTATGGGCTCCTGGAAGCCCATGGAGGTAAAATGCCCTTTCATCGAGTCACACCATGGAGTAGTCTCTATTTCCCCAAAAGTAAGACCTAACTGGAAATAAGCCCTAGCATGATTTTTCAGAATGCTCATAATAATCTCTTGGTTTACCCCTAAAATAAGCCACAGTTAAGATCATCAGCCAGATGGACACATTTAATATGTCCACTGCAACACATGGATATATTGAATCATAAAATAATACTAATGTATAACTAAATATAAATAGTATTGACACTGATATTTAAAATGAATAATATAAATTATAATTAATCATTTGTAAATACATGAGGGGGCTCCTTTGGATGAGAGGTAACTACCTATGTAAACAGATGACCTCGAGCCTTACTGCTGAATGAGCAGAGCACACACAGACACTACATGCGAATAATGTGCACACCTGACAGTGAAGGGACGTGGCTGTCTCTGATACAAATCTTTATAATTCAATACGTCGTGTGTTGTAACGGACGTACTTCATGCACTTGTGTGAAATAAAGAAAGGTTTCCTGATTTTTGGTGTGTGCAATTTTTCGTCCCTTTTGCATGGACCATCACCCTTCAAGGTCATCAATTCTGTTGCCACTCCTGTGTCGTAAGTCTTCAATTCACACCTGATTTGACGCAAACTCTGTGAAGCCCAGCCTGCAAGAGGCTGTGATTCAGGTGAAGAATTCATGGGCTAAAATCACTGACAGCGGGGTTGCCAGGGCGCCAAGAGCAAGCCACATGGACAAGAAGCGCTCATTCAAGGAGAGCGCCACTGCTGGGCTACAGACTGGGGCCAATGGGTCTACAGGAAATGGAGTGGCAAGAAATGCAGGCTGGGATTTGGGGTTTGGAGAGTTGTGATGATGTTCCAGATGATGATGACAGCACTGTCTCTGAATAGATTTTGTACATGAATAAATGAATACATGTAGATTGTTTACATGAAAAAATAAAGACATCCCCTGAAAATAAGCCCTACAGTGCCTTTTGGAGCAATAAGATGGGGTCTTATTTGCGGGGAAATATGGTGCTAGCAACCTGCCTGATCACTCTCAGGGCTGCCCTCAATCACCCCGCTGAAGCGGTCTGTTAGGTGCCTCCACTGCAGTTACTCTTTCCTCCCTATTTCTCTACCACAATCTTAAAGAAGAAGTCACTTTGCTCAGCCCACACTTAAGGAGTGGGCAGTTCCTCTCCATCTCCTGAGAGTGGAGCACCAACAAAAAGTATTCACAATTCTTCCACACTTCTGTCTCTGTTTGGAGACCATAACCCTTTTATCTTAATTAGAAATCGCTGGCCCCCTCCCAGAACCCCCCCCCCACACACACAAATAATACAGGGCCTCACAGATAGAGCCTATCTTTGGGCCCAGCCTGCAAGGGGAGCTAAGGAAATGTGAAGCAAAAGCCACCCTGGCCACCTCAGCCTCCTTTGACGACAGCAGCTCAGGGCAGCCCGCTTCCATTCTCTGTGGGACAGGTGATCTTAGGAACACCCAGGGAACCGAGAAGGGCAGTTCTAGGGTGCCAATTAAGAGGAGAGACTGCTGCTACGCTGTGCAGAGAAAGGTCCACAGAGCGACTGGTACACAGCTGTGACTGGCTCTTGGTAAGTCACTGATCTCACCAAGCCAGACTCTTGCCTATGGAGGGTGTGAGACTTGGTAACACTTTCCTTAATGCCCAAAACATAGTTCTTAATTTTTCAACTGGTTGTTTTCTAAGAGGGTAAGGGCACGGATGTTTTAAAGATAAGATCTTACTACCAGTTAAGCAGGCATTTGTGAATTGTGCCAGAGAAGTATTAAGTTCCGGAACAACTAAGAGCGATGCCTAGCATAATCCTTGGCACATGGTAGTATTCAAATGCTTGCTGAACGATGAACAAATGAGTTCTAAGAAGTACAGGGGACAAGCAGCTGTCTACATTGGTATGCAGTATACAAATGGCACTGGATCAATTTTTAGGGGTCACCAGGTCGTCACTAATGTCTCTTTCCTCAGAGAGAAGCAACATTTTTCCAAACAAACCATAGCAATTAACTATGGGAGCCTTACATATTAAAATTAATGTAAGAGGGGCCAGGGATTTAGCTCAGTGGTTCCAGCACCTGCCGCGCAAGCACAAGGTCCCAAGTTCAATCCCCGGTACCAAGAAAAAAAAAATGTAAGAAAAGACATTAGAATACCACTGTGGCACATAGGTGTTCAATAAATGCTTGTTCAGTTAATCAACACTATCAAATAATAGGTAAAGCAGGGCATCCAAAATTCAGAAAGGAATTTATTAAAAAGTTGATCAATTGCAAATAGTTCTTTGGGACATGCTAAAAACGGGTATCTGCACAACTTAAACATTCCCTGTTTAAAAAGGTACACTGGCATGTGGAGGTCAGACTTTTATTCAATAGAAAGAATACAGAAACAAGCAAAGAACAGTCATCTTTCTGAACATGCAGAGGCAAGGACATAGTGGTGGACTGCTGAGTCCCCGAGAGCAGTAATTCTCTAACTCATTTCACTGCTACACACCAGAGCGGCAGCAAGGCACAGAGGTAAACAGCTTCCAGACTGAAGCCAAGCCATGAGCTCAGATTCTAGCTCCGGCCAGAATGAGTGTTTTAAGCAGTGATTTAAGCAGATTATTTAACTGCTATGCCTCAGTTTCCTCATCAATAAAATGTGAGAAGAATCAAAAATTATACCTGAGTTTTTATAAGAATTAAATGAGTTAATATTTATTAAAAGGGCTTAGAAGAGTCCCCACCACATAATACATTATATAAGTGCTTGCTTAAAAAAAAAAAAAACTTCCATTACTTCAAAACAGCAAAAGTAAGGTAATTTAAGAACCAGAAAATTAACCTCTTTTACATTCTGAGGTTTGTCACCTCATGAGTAAAATTATTTCAGTATCTATGAAAGCTGGTTCTTCAAAATTGCCAAGTATCTACAGAAGCCCACCTTCTGTCACTATTTTAAAATACTATCCAAAATAAGTAAACTACTAGGGTATTAAGCACCAAAAACAAAAAGAATGTCAAGGTCAGACCTTCCCTGCAGGACAATGAGCTCTGAAAATTGGTAATGATTTTTCTTGATTCTCCACTCAATCAATACTTAGGAGACTATACTGGAATTAAGAACAAAGTATGATTAATTTCTTGGGCATTTTTAGGCTTGTGAGATTTTAAATTATATTTACATAGATTTATTGGATTTTTTTGTTTTAATACTGTTTTTCCTTAGTTAAAAAATAAATTTCTCTATTAAAATTTATTGTGAATACGCTATTAAAATTTAGAAATATTTTTTGAGATATATTGTATATTATATATATAGCACAGTAATACACAGGTTAGTAACTATTTTAATCTGTGGCAAAATATGCAATGATCATACCTAAATGCTATTTCAGAAAATTAGAAAGCCATACCAATGTAAAAAGGAAAAAAAGAAACATCACATTTGAAATGAAAAACTTAATTCATACTAGAACTGAATTCATAATAAAATGAATTTTGTACTCCTACTTGGTATTTAATTGCAATATAAAAAACATGTAATTACTCAAAAGCATTCTGGATCTTGTTTTTCACTAAGCACTATTAAAAGACTAAAACTGACACTGAATTTAAAGTTTTAAGGAACATTTACAGTATTTCATTAATCCACTACTCTTCTTAGTCAATGGCTTCTCTCTAGCACCAACATCAGTTCTACTTAACATTTCTATAAATTTCCCATTCAAATACTATTCAATAAATTTTAAAACCATGGGTAGCCATAACTAGCCCTAAATATAACCCTATAAAATCCCTTTAGGCCTTCAGCCATAAAACACATCACCATTCGTAATATCTTTGCCAGTAACAAACAAACAAAAAAAAATCAGATTACGAAATACATTTTGGCAGCAGAGGGACTTTACTGTTCCATATCTATCTAAAGATTGTCTTGCTACTAGCCAAGATAATTTCTTCCTCTTTCCTTTTTTCTCCGCAGTGCTTCTAAGTATAGTGACAGCCGCATGAGGCTTTCCTAGTCTCAGCACTAGCTCAGTGAAAATTTGGGATATGTAAGTGGAAATATGAGAGAACACTTTATTTGGCAGTTCTTAAGGGTGGGGGGGTAGGACAAATGGCAAAGCAGTGTTTGGGCCACAGGATGAACAATCAATAGGCAGAAAGCAAGATAGAGGCTTCCTCAGCTTTTGGATCGACAATCGACAGCTGAGAGACTATTTTTTGCTATGGTTGACTAAATATGGTCAGGGAAGAGAGAGGCACAAGAGAGCCTGTTTGCCGGGAGTGCGTGTTTCAAATGCTTAGCTGCCTATAAAGCTGTAAGAGTGTAGCCTGTGGCCACCGAAGGAAGAATATAAGTGGCCCCTGTGGTGGCCATGCGCAGTCCTGTCCTCGCTTGCAGACTTAACCTCTGGATACGACAAGGCAGCTTTACTACAGATCTACCATTTAGTTTAATCTTGGGACTCAGACCCAAAAACTCAAACCAAGAAAGATGCAGAGTATTTCCCGAGGAGTCAGAAGAACTCAATGTATTCTGGTGGGCAAAGGAAAGCAGGGTGAATGTTTACTTACTTGGGGGGAGTGAGGTGTGCTTTGGGTTGGTTTGTTTTTGGGATTTTTTGTGTCTTTTTTAGATTGTAAAATTAACTTCCTCTGTAACTCTTCCCCCTCTTCTGAAGCATTTCATCTGATGAATATGCTAGGTATATTTTTGTGGTCTTTGTAGCAACCTTCCTCGGTGACTTAACTCTCTCTACACATCTGCAATGACTGGTATATGCCATTCCAAATCGAATGGCCAATGTTGATTCAAATTTATTGCAGGGTTTTTTTTCTTTTAGGGGAAGGGGGAGAAAAGTAGGTTATTTGTTTCTCAAATGTATCTTAAAAGGTGAGGTTGCGTATTTGCTGACACCCTCCCTCCCTTACTTCACTCAGCTCATAAAAGAAGTGCTCGATCAGCAAGTAGAGCTCGCACAGGACCCATAGGAGGAGATGGCTGCTGCGATGCGACTCTCTAGGTCACTGCCGCTATCCTGCTGCAAGCGCTGCATGACACTAGGCTGACAGGTAACGCACCATGCCGCCTGCACTTTCAAGGGTGCTTAGACCTTCTGCATGCCTCTCTAGTGTCGACTCCACAGATGTTCTGATTGTTAAAGTCTATCTGGGAAGAGCCTAATTTCACAGTACAAAATGACAGTTTGGGTAGTATGAAAAAGGAATGTTGTTCAAATATTTTCATAACATAACTCAATCTCAAAAATGTACAAAACTATTACTGATTACATTATTAAAGATTTAGCCTTTTTTAGTAATTGTTTTTGCAACCCCAGTAAATCTGTATCCCTCACTTCACCAAAGTATGCTATCTTCTAAAAATTGTATTTCAAGAGTTAGTCAAACAAGCAACTTGGCAGATTATAAAATACTTTTTAATGCTTACTATTTTCCCCCCATTAAGTTTATTGGTACATTTTCAGTATACAATACAGTTATATTCATCATTGGGATCTTGTACCTTTACATGAGTCTCTTGGTTCTTATTTTTTTTCCCCTTCCCTTGCCCTCCCTTCACCCCCTCCACCCTTCCCTATTTGCAAAGACCTTGTTTCCATTTTTTTCCTCTTCTCATATTTTTTCCTTTCCTCTACCCCTCCCAATTCCCCTGCTCTTTTAGACCTTTTCTTCCTGTTACACAATATCAGTTATACATTTTTTAAAGTACAATATCAAGATCTAGGAGACATTACCACAGATTTTACAATGCTTACTATTAATTAACCACAAAATAACTCCGAAGGCGTGTGGTGTGACCCCAAGCCTCTCCTGACTGCTGCGCCCCCCCAATTTGCTCCAATGAGCTGCGCTCACTCCTACACAGGCTGCAGAGATTCTACTTCCCCTGCTTTCTTTCTCTCTCTTCCCCTCCCTACTTTGCCAAATCTGAACATTTCTTGGAGTTTTCTTTTTAAATTAACCCTTTAGTGTCACAATAATTAAAAAGCTACTGACCAGCTATAATTTTTTTCTCATGCTACATGACTGTGCTAAAACCCAGGTGATCATAGGCTACAACCTTTTAGTCCTTTTAGATAAGTCTTTGGAAAAGTGAATTGGGTAGTTTTGTTTTATAGTGAAAAATTTTTTAAATCAAAAGAACTAAACTCACTAAAATTCAGTAGGTAGACCTCTATTTGAATTTGTATTCGAACAGAAGCACAGAAATATAAAATTTAAGTAAGGAACTAATCAAGACAAAGGAACAACAAAGTTTTCAAATGATCATGAGTTCTTATCTGCGACCTTAAAAAAGAAACTAAAGAAAAATTCACTGCTTTTAAAAAAAATAGCTTTCACTCCCATGCTGAAATGACTTGGGTTTTCTCTTTATTGCTTCAACTGCAGTCAATTCTAAAAGTACTAATTGATTTAAGTTTTGAATAAGATATCAGGTTTGCAAAAAAATTTGAACTAAACTACTATCTACCTGTAGGATCTAGTGACAAATAATAAATCAAAGAAAGAAGCATCTCTCTCTGAAGAGTCTAAGCTGCAACTACCAATTTCTGAAACACCCTGTGAAGCTGCACTGATTCTATGATCTCCTGCAAAAAGAACCAAACTGAGACAAAGTTCAACAGAAAACTGGTCAAATGTTTACAAATGTTGATGTCCATCAAGAACAAGGAACCCTGATCAATCAGGTAAACTGGTTATAAAGCATAGTCTGTGATAAATTAGTCTCTGCAAATGATCCACCACTGCTCTGTGCAGTGAGCTAAATACTAACAAATATTTATTTTACAAATGCGTGCAGCTAGCCACTCAGTAATACCTACTCAGAGCACATACTTCTTTATGTACCCATATGAACATACAATGCTATGGAATGTAAAGAAGTATGTATTTTTGGTAGGTAATAAGCCACCACGAGGAACTAAATGGCAGCTAAAAGAAGCCCTTGCTTCTTTTCTCCAAGAATGACCTTCATATGATAAATTAACCTACTATCATGAGGATGACCTTTGGCAACACTAACACCAAAAAAAAAATCCTTACTACTTATAGATGGAAACTCAGAATCCTTATGATTTATATTCAGTGAAGTAAAAGTTCCACTGAAGTAGATTTCAATTTATTATAAAAGTTCTTTAAAGCATTTCAGTTTAAAACATACTGCCTTTTACATCTTGTGAATATTCACATAATTGAAATTTAACAATAAGAGGAAAAACAGTACTAGCAATTTATTTTCTTCACAATTTGATCATAACTCAAGTACATCAACTGATTTGGTAAGAAAAATAACATACAAAAAAAAGCTGGCTTCGAGGCAGGCGTGGTGGCACGTACCTGTAATCCCAGTATTCTGGGAGGCTGAGGGAAGAAGCTTCCAAGTTGGAACTAGCCTGGGCAACTCAGTAACTTAGAGACGCTCTCTCCAAATTTAAAACAATTTAAAAGGGCTGGAGATGTAGCTCAGTACAAAGGCCCTGGGTTCAATCCTCAGTACTTCCCAAAAATAAGTCTGACTTCATTTTCACTCACATTTTAATAGCTATTCTCTTCACATGTAGGAAGTTTAGAATCTATCAATATTAGAAGAATTTCAGACTGTATTATCTTTGAATCTGCTTTCTCCTGAGGGAGCATATAAAATGAAAACATGATGGAGCCAGGGATTTAGCTCAGTGGCACAGTGCCTGCCTTGCAACCGCAAGGTCGTGAGTTCAATCCCAGGTACCAAAAAAAAAGAAAACATGATAGTCAAGAACCAACTTATACACACAGAATAACCATTTTTATTGGTACTGTACTATGCAATTATAATTCAATTTTATAGATATAACAGATCCACTGTATTTAGTATGTTAGGAATATCAAAGTATTTTTTATAATCTATTATGTACATTTACAAAAATCATAAGCTAGGCCAGGTGGCACACGCCTGTAATCCCTGCTTTTTGGGACACAGAGTAGGAGGATTGGAAACTCAAGCCTAGATTTAGTGAGACCCTGCGTCAAAAAAATAAAAACTAGGGCCGGGGATTTAGCTCAGTGGTTCCCTGCCTGAGTCACAAGCACAAGGACCTGAGTTCGATCCCCGGTACCAAAAATTAAAAATTTAAAAAAAAAAATTTTTTTTTTAATTAAAAACTAGGGCCAGGGATTTACCTCAGTGGTGCTGCCACCTGCCTCACAAGTGCAAGATCCTGAGTTCAATCCCTGGTACCAAAAAAATTTTTTTAATTAAAAACTTGGCTAGAGATAGAGCTCAGGGCCAAGGACCGGGGTTCAATCCTCAGTATTGAAAAGAAAGAAATTTTTTTAAAAGTTCTTAGCAACAATCAATAAGCAACACCTATTTTAAACTACTATAATATTACAAAGAAAAAAGAAAATACTACTATTTATATATTCCTATTTCTTACTAAAAGTTGTTTCAATAAAAACATTTTACAAAAAGCATAGTAATATTTTAAACTTTCGTGTTAAAAACTGAATGGAAATGACAAGTTTAACTACTGTTAATTTTCTGTTTAATAAGACAATTCATTATTAAATGAGTTTCATTTTATCAGATTATTCTGAATGAGAAAATTAATAAGTAGCATGTTATTGCACATTTATTGGAAATTATTAAAAGTATGATTTTTTAATTTTACATTTCAAATAAATTAGTGAACTCACTTAAGCATAGCCCTTCTGATTACCTACCAAAAAGAATGCCAGCATTTCAGGTTCCATTTGTTACTTCTACCTGTATATGTCCTAAATACCAAAAACTAAAAACAGATGCCTCAAAAGTAGAGGTTGTTCTATAAAACTGCTCAAAGGGTACTATACTCCTAATACTTTGTAATGAACAATTACATTAGTAATTTTACAGGTATAAAAAGTTTTAATAATTCTTTTTAACCATTCCAGCAACTAAGAATCTCTTTGCTATAATATTAAGAGTATATAATCCTTATTCATTTATCAAGTAAAATTATAAACTGTGGTGCTTACTAGTTTAACTTAACATATCTAAGAGTATTTTCAATCACTCTAAAATGTCACATCTATCACTTAGATCAGCTGTTCATTTTTAACTGAGTACATGTTAAACTCTGGACATCTGCTGACACTGGTGTAACTCAAACATTTCAACTGTCTCCCTGACAGGGATAACAGATGCTGACATTATCAAATGCTGTACTATTTTTTTCCCATGGCCTCTCCTTGCCCCAATATGGCCAGTATATGAAACTGAACTGCTGTCCAAAAGCACACTTGAGCAACTGGATCTGCTAAATGGTTCCCATATAACTAGTAAAAATAGAAGCCGGTGTTACTGCTATCTTCAGCACTTAAGTTCATGCAATGTAACACCTGTTTCACTTCTATTAGAATAAACGTGGAAAGACTATAGATACATTAATTTTACCAGCAGCCAGACACTTAAACAACAGATAGAGAAATACACTTAATGTAAGAACTGTTTGCATATTGCCCAAGTTAGTGTTGACCAGTAACTATAAAGAACAGTTCACTCTTTATATTTCACTTCATTTACTTTATAAACAAACTATAATTTAACAGGCTTGTATTTTTCTGCAAGTATTTTTCAGAAGACATTCCTCTCCTGATATTGAAACTACAGCAAACCCACCATTGTAACAAAAACTTAAAACTATCAAATTTTTTAAATATTACATGGTAAATTTCAATATTAAAAAGTCACGATTGTAGCTAACCACAAGTCAATACACAATTAAACTGAAAATGAGAAGTAACCAGACAATCTGTACCCAAAATGACAAGAGAATTTATTCAAAGAAATAGACCTTTAAAAGGGTTAAATTACTGACCCATGACTAGTAACCCTAAATGAGTAACAACAAAGAAAAATAAGGTGGCATGCCCGGGAGTTCTTCCCAACACAAGTCCAAGGAATATACTAAATACACGTGTGATCTATTTATAACTCAAAGGGCAGAGGTATTTTTCTTAAGGCCATTCATATTCCTCCAACCTCTGTCAGCAACTTGCTAGGAGCCCTCAACTACAATACTAAAAAAAGTAGTGATGGTAGAAATGTGTGATTAATATTACTCTTCCCCAACTACTGCCGGAATGGTTTACTACCTATAAGTAAATAGAAAACATCACTCTGAAATGTGTCAAGGCTACCTTTTCTTATAAATATTGTTGGTTTTGAAGCAGCTTATTGTTTATAGTTAAGAACTAACCATAAATGCTGAAAAAGTCATGCACTGACAATGTGTTAAAAGGAAAAGATTTCTAACTGTTAAGAGTAGGAAAAGTGCCATCAAGGCAGAAATTTTATATTTAGTGACTGAAGCACTGATAATGAGATCTTCTAACACTTGTGGATGGTCCATAACCATATTTTTACAAATGAAAAGCATTTAACTGTTCTAGATCCCAAACCAGCACACTACAATGCTTTGCTAAAGCTGGTAAAATGGAACCAAATCGCCTCTTCAATGGATTTGGTCCCCTTCAACCAGCTGTAGCTATGCATTGATTACTACAGGAGAGCCAGCGCTTTCATTTATGAATATCAATTCCATGTCAACTAATTTTAACTCAAGTTATTCAGACTGTGATTAACACTAGATAACTTGTTACTGTTCTACTTGGAAGAACTAGAGTGGTCAAAGACATTCATAAAAAGCTTTATGAAAGATGTGTGGATGACTCATGAATTTCAAATAAAATAATTTTACTCATGTATGGTCTCCTGGTATTAAATTTCTTGTTCTTCAGAAAAGAATAATAAAAAGTAGGTTACACTTCATAATAAAAACATAGTTCCTCAGAAGAAGGAATTACCTGGAAAGTTCACCTAAAACCCATGTGAAAATATGAGGGGAATGTCTCAGCACAGATCAGACAGCCACACATGTATTTCTGTATACCACACCAAAAACCACACTATTACATAACATAATACTCTAGAAACGTCGAGTCACTGTCTTCCATGAGATTAGCCTTTACTTTTACCACTAAATCCCTGAATGCTAACAGGAAAACTGAAAAAGGAGGTAATACCACAGAAGAATACCTTGAGAGACTTAAGCAATAAGCATCTAGTTCTGCAATTCTTCCAACTTTGAACCAAAGGTGTTTAATGCTTAAAGAAAATGTTAAGTGTCACCACTTTTTACTCATAAGAATATTTCAATGCTCCCTCCTCATTTCCTCAATTGTAAGGTAGTAACATTCTATTACTCCCTGCCTTTTTTGTCCTTTACAAAAATCATGAACACACGCATAGGTCTTTCAGCAGAAAGAAACTGAAGTGAAAATAGTGAGTGTTCCAAGGGAATCCTGTTTGAGAGTAGATGCATGCAGAAGTAGAGAGATAACAGGCACACTGTATCATCAGGCAACAGATTCTCAGCTGATTTTTGTTCAATACCCAGTATATTCAGAATTATAAAAGGAAAAAAATGAATACCAACAGAGTCCAGATTATCAAATCTCCTATATTCAACATATTTTCATTTACCAAATCACATTTTGGAACTGACAGAGTTAGAGATCAAGATATCATAATGTTCTAGAGGGAAAAACGAGTTGCTCACAGATTCCGTAAGATTTATCATGTGTGGGAATAAATACATGAGTAAACAAGAAGTCACCCAGTACTAACTTGAAAATATAGCATCACAGCATATAGGTCGCTCATATTTTGCTACTTTTGACATTCAATTTATAATAAAGAAAAAATATAAATAACATTATCAGTAGTCCCAAAAGACCTATCAATTGTCTTCGCCAGCTCTGCAGAGAACCCTGCTGACTGATGTATCTACAGCCTGCAGGGAGCTCCAACAACTTAACAACTCCACATGAAACGTTCCCACACACAGAGCAAAGTAACCTGCTGACTCAGGAATCCAAAGACATTTAGTTCTTACTTTGATCAGCAGAAATCATTTCTGCTCTGGTCCAATAGTTAAGCCACTATGTAATTATGTATAATTGCAATATAACAGTTTCCTTAAAGACTTAATTCTGTACTTAGTCATGTACTACACATGAAATTTCACTGTCCTTATTGTCAAATTTATTGTCAACATTTGTTTCCTAGATTCAGAGCACTGAGGAGGATACACAGATGAATACAAGCACCCACAATTTTAACAGAAAGAAAGATATGCATACAGTAACAGAGAAAATGGAAAATGGAGGAAGAAAGCGTCAACGTATTTTAGGAAAGGGCAGCAATGTAATAATGTAGCTAAAGGGTAAGGCAGGTGGAGGGAGTTTAATTAGTGGGAGATGAAGCTAAACAGGCTTGAGACATCAAAAATTGGTTCTGGGCTGGGGATTTAGCTCAGTGGTTTCAGCATCTGCCTTGCAAGTGCAAGGTCCTGAGTTCGATCCCCAGTACCAAAAAAAAAAAGGTTCAAATGACAAGACGTATAAATTTTACTATGGACACGAGAAACAACTGAAAGTGTGGGAACAGTGAGGGGAATTTTAAAGTGATAATTATTTGATCAGGAGAATAATAAGACACTGTAACAGTCGAGGTAAAAATGGTAAGAACTTATTAGGTCAGCAATAATAGGAATAGAAAGACTGTGCCAGACTGAAAAGACTAGCCGAATAGATTGAATTTTAAAAGGAGCAGGGCCAAGGATGTAGCTCATTGGCACCCGTGCCTGCCTTGAAAGTCCTGAGTTCAATCTTCAGTACCAGAAAAAAAAATTCATGAAGTGCCAACTGTTTAGGGACAGGGATTTAGCTCAGTGGCACCGCACTTGCCTCACAAGTCCAAGGTCCTGAGTTCAATCCCTAGTACCAAAAAAAAGAGGAATTGAGTTGAAATTCGTGAGAGCAAAGATAACCGTAAGCAATGACACACCAAGAGGAAAGATGCATTGAATTGTCATACTCAGATAAATTACTCACTGTCCAGGAGTCTCACCTCACAGACCACAAAGCATAAATGGTACTAAGAAGGGCGTAAGAGCTCTGATTCTCAAGTCACACGGAACTTGCTCAAGTTCCAGCCATTTCTCTAATCAGCTACATAATCAAGGCTAAGCAAATTCACCTCGATAAGCCTCACATTCTTCATCTATAAGATGAAGATTTTAACCCCCGCTGCAAAAGCTGCTGAAAGGGCTGGAGGTGTGGCTCAGGGCAGAGCCCTTGCTTAGCGTGCACAAGGCCCAGGATCGATCCCCAGCACCAGAGGAGAGGTGGGCAGTATTCAAAGCACTGAGGGAGATAATGCATGTGGAGTACTGAGCAGAGGCCTGGCATGTGCCAAGCGCTATCACTGAAATAATTATCTATTTGAAAGCCTCAGGACATATAATACTATTCTGTCTCCTTCATGGTACAAACATATGAAGTGCCTGAATATTCATAATTTGAAAATATTCAAGACATGAAATACCGTTATCCATTACATCCTACATTACATGCCCACTGTCATGGGTACCAACAAGCAACAGCACTCAAAGTCTTGTTTTCAATGATTACCCTCTAGTGATGATTCTAAGAATGAATGAATGACTGGAAACATTAAACACAACAAGGAACCACAGAGAGTGAGAATTCAGGATACATAAAATTGTCAAAATAAACATCAGCATAAATATTTTCCTCACTCAAGATATATTCACTTAATCGGACACACATTTAAATAACGCATTGTTTCTCTTGTGTGGGAAATCAAAAGGGTAAATAAGGTCCAAATGGATGACAGATATTGGGAACCAGGAAGAAAATGTTCAAGTAGGAAGGGGAAAGGGGGGGTTAGAGAATAAAAGAAAAAAATGGAAAGAGAGCTTGTGTAAATGAGGGGGAAGAAAGGTTGAAAGGAGGGGAGAGGAATGGGAAAAAAAGAAAAATCAGGATATATTATGCACAGGTACAAATTCCCTATGACGAATGTAATCATTATGTTCATCAAAAGTGTACCAACACAATCCCCGGCACCAAAAAAAAAAAAAAAAGTGTACCAACAGGTAGTGCAGATGCCAGCAGCAGCCCGGCTGGACCACGCCACACAAGCCTGCGCCACTCGCTCAGCATCTGAATCCACACAGCAGGGAGGGGGAATAAAGGCCATGGTTATGAGCCCCAGAAGACAGAGCAGAAGTGAACAACAGAGAGGGCCTCTCTGAGGCTCCTCAATGAAATCTGAAGCCCACTGGGAAAGTGATGAAAATCTCTTCAATAAAGGCACAAAGGACCATGGAGGTTGGTAAGTTGGTGGGATCAGTACCTCCCATAGAAACCCAGACTAGCTTAGCAGGGATGACAGCTGGAACCTGCAGTAGAACCTTGCAAAGTCTAATCCTGCAGGAGGTTAGGGACCTTAACTTGGGCCTTGCAGCCAGAAATCAGCCTGAATCTCAGCAGACTACAACTGGCTTGCTGAGACTAATCAACTTAGACCTGCACATTGCTGCCGACATTATCTACCAGGACAGCAGAGACATATCCTGAGGGAGACCTTTTTATATATTTTCTTTTCTTTTCTTTTCTTTTTCTCTCACTCTCTCCCTTCTGGCTCTGTATTTCTCTCCCTCTTTGTTCCTATTCCTGTCCCATTTTGAATTGTTTCTCTCTCTGTGTCCTCTCAACTATCACTATTATAGGAAGGTGAATACAATTTCTAGCTTCCCTATTGTTGTCAGTTTGTTCTGTACTTGTCTGTGTTCCTTCACTTGGTCTTTTCCTCCTGTCTTCAACAGATTCACACAATTTGCATGATCATCCCATGTCCTCTAGCCTCATCTCTAACCTTTCCCTCTCCTTCTATCTCTCTATCCCTCCCTCCCCAACCCCTTCTAAATCCTTGTCCCAAAGGGTAAATTTGCCGTATTGAAGGGTTTATTTACTACAAACATATTTTGGGCTGACCCTAGATTCTGATCTAGCTCTATAGCTTGGTTAAAAGTGACAGATTAACTTGCTACCTACCACAAATTGTCCTTTTCTAAACAGTGTTTGATGCTATTGTTGATGCTGACTGTGTCAACTGGGCTAAGGTGTTGAGATTGATCTAATCAGTTGTCCTCTCTGGTATACTGAAAACGAGATTGCCTAAGAGACATTAAAGACTCAAAGCCGAAAAAGTCCAGCTATTCCTGGAAGATATCTCTGAGAAGCAATCACTCCATAAGGCCTCTAAACACAAGTAATAAAGATACCCACAATAAGAAATATTGAAGTATCGGCCCAGGAATTAAAGCAAAAACAGCACCAACAACACAATTAAAAATGAGAAGACACTTTAGCAGGACACAAACCCAGACTTCCAGCTCGCCAAAGGCAAATTCTGGGGGAAATGAGGTGGAAAAATATGATAATCAACCACTTGGACACCCTGAACTGATAGCACAGGAAGTAACAAAACAGATGAATGAGGCTTTGGAAAAATTCAAAACAGAAATAATTTCCCAGATAACTACAGAGATGGTGAGCAGAATGAAAGACACAATTAGAGACTCTAGAACAGAAACAGATAAAAAAATAGATGAGCTCAGGACCATGCTGTAAGCCATGAATGCCCAGCATAGGAAAGAAATGGAAACCATGATCGCCCAACATAGGAAAGAAATGTACCTCAGACAAAGGACTATCTAGAATATATAAGGAACTTAAAAAAAATCAGACCCCCCAAATTCAAAGACCCAATTCAAAAATGGGCATCTGAAATGAACAGACATTTCTCAGACAAAGAAATAAAAGCAGC